ATCGCCCTATATATATATAAAGTGGATCTCAAAACATCAAGACAGGCCTACATATAGAGGCGTCAAACATTGTTAGGGTTAGGGTTTATATATACAAATAAACATATAGAAATATGTATCATAGAAATGATAAAAAAAATAGGGTACAAAATGTAGTCAAAGGGAGGACCAAGTAGGGCTTCTTACCCTATATCATATATATATATATATATGTATATATATATATATATATATCTGCCAAGTCTGACCCTTTCCTGTGTCCTAAGGGATGCATATATGTGACTTACATGGAAACCGATGCTCCAACACATAAAATATCCGTCGGACCAAAGGTTTTTGAACTCTTCTTAATTATAACACTTTCATCATCATCATCATCATCCTTTTGACCAACATGCAAAAAAGATTCTCCCTCTTGTGCATCATCTACCTACATCTAGGTATATATCAATTTCAATGCCGTATTGCCCCTCGATATATATATATATATATATATAGCCAAACCATGTATTTGTTGACATGGAAGATACCCTTCTAATCTATGTGATTTTGGTGTTTTTAATACTAGTAAATGAATCCACATTGGCCATTATTAGGGATATCAATCATCAACTAATGATCATATTAGTTAGAAGACTCTTAACCTTTGAGATATTAGGGTTCCTCTCTTTGATCCAATGCTTAAAATAGGCCGTACAAGTCTATCATCCTCCCAAGTTCTATATCTAAATTCATCTCCTCAACAAGCATATAAAAACAATGGCTAACCAGTCACACAATAGGGTTTTCAAGATCATGTGAAACTTTGTATGATATTCCAATGCAAGATGAATACATATATACATATATATACACATTCATAAACACACAAACATATATATATGTGTATGTGTGTGCTGGAGAGATATGAAAGTTGAAGTGAGTGAGCAAATAAGAGGGAAAGATGAAGAAGGCAGAGACATGTGCATGTGCAAAGAGACAGGGAGTGAACAGTAATACTCTTCTCTCTCTCTCTCTCTGCACTTCAATGAACAAAGCCACTGCAAATAATCTGATACTTCATATGCCCCCACCCTCTCTCTTCTTCCTTATTCCATTTTTTTTATATATAAAATTTTTAATTTTAAATTTAATTTTAATTTGAAAAGAAAAGAAAAAGACAGAAGTACTTTCATCTGCTAGTGCTACCAAACAAACCAAGCCCCCTTCATATCCAATGGTCTTTAACCTGGTCTCATCTTCACCCTCTCTTCTTCTATATTTCAGTTTTGCCCCTAAAATTTGATTATGTTTAGGGCAGACATTTGCAAATTTGGATATGTATAAATCCAATAATATCTAAAAATCTAAATCCAAACAAAGTTTGAATTGAATGTAAAAGTAATTATTATAGCATTTCAATCAATAAAAACTAAATTGGAATCGAATTGATACTTTTAAAAATCTAGCTATATTCATCTTCTTTTTAATTGTCTCTATATACATTGGATAAACCTTATCAGCCCATCATTCATTTCTTGGTAGTTCACCTTAATATAATTTTTATTTGTTTTATTGTATAAAAACTTGTTTTGTAAGATCATTGTTCACATATTTTCACGTATAAAAGATTTTAATACATTGATATTCTAAATCCAAATGCTCAAAACTTTCGTTGATAATTCAAATGATTTGATATTCGGTCGGTCCAAATTTTTTTATGGTTACAAGGTTTTGGTTTAAAAGACGAATGGTTCAAATGATCTTATCATATGTACTAATTAGACATCAAATTCATAAATCGTATCCATAATTTGTTTTTTCATTTACAAACAAAGTCGTATTTATTTCGATATTTATAAGATTTTTCCACGTACGATTAAATGTCAAGCTCAATAAAAAGGCCATGGCACTCATTTTTAGGTCATGAAGAGTTGTAGTGGATACAGCTAATACCCAAAAGGCAGCCTGGCCATTATCGGATAAGGGAAAAAAACACACACAGCAAAGGCACTACAAGTTCGTGTAGATATTTGTGTACATATGATCCTTACATGTATGTATATATACAGAGTATTCTGTACGTATATATATATATATACGAATGGTCTGAAAAAAGAAACATGTAATGGAAGAGGGAATTAATAAGGTAATGGCAAAAGAAAATGAATAAAAAAGGGTAATATATATATATATATATAGGTTAAGATTGGGACAGCGAGAGTGTCAGAGAGACAGAAGCATCAAGTGCTGCAGCAGAAGCAACAGCAACCACTGCCCCTTGTGACCTTCAGATTTCGCAGTCATTATAGGACCAGTGACACAGTCTTACACCCCCCACCACTGACACAGATACTTACACACACACACACACACACATATATATATATATATATATATATCAGTGTTATGATGTTTTGCAATACATGGCAAAGTTCATAATCTGTTCCTTTTTATGACACACACACACACACAAGATGTAAATATCAGAGTTATGATGTATGTACATATATATATATATATATATATATATATTTATCAGTGTTATGCTGTTTTGCTGTGTTTATTTAAACCAAATAATGATCTACAAACTTGATTATGTGGTAAAATATATAACCTAATTAATAAATCGTGCTGAAGTACTGCATGAGTTTGCCATATTTTGTACGGATGAGAGATGATTTAGCTCGGTTCAAATAATTTGTAAAGATGGTGGCTTTGTGCTCGTAGACGGCCCTTACCTCCATAAATTAGAAAATCTCTAGACAAAGAGCCCGTTTTTATACAATGTTTACTAATCTTATAGTATATATATAAAGGAGGGAGAGGTCAAGGCATTCATGCAAGTGAATGATATGATATGATAGGCTTCAACTGAGAGAGAGAGAGAGAGAGAGAGAGAGAGAGAGAGAGAGAGAGAGAGAGAGAGAACAGTAAGAGTCTTGTTTGCCTGTCGGGCTGTCTCTCTGAAGGAAGAAAACCCTCCCCTCAAAATCACAACCCTGAAGATCTTCGTTTCATCTACACATCATCTATCTGAAAGTTCCATCTCTTTTTTTTTTGTAAGAGAAAGGGGGGAAAAACATGATGGGAGTAAGTGGAAATGGAAGTGGAAGATCTGAGAGGCCTCCATTCACACCGATACAGTGGCAAGAGTTAGAACATCAGGCCCTAGTTTACAAGTACATGGTTTCTGGTGTTCCTGTCCCGCCTGAACTCGTCTTCTCCATCAGAAGAAGCTTGGATTCTTCCTTCGCCGCTCGTCTCCTTCCTCACCAACCCTGTAAGCCAAACAATATGCTTATATGTTTTCACTCCCCCTCCCCCCTTCTAATTACTTTTTTTTTAGAAGTCAGACAAAGTGGGTTTTTTGTTACTTGCCTAAAGATTAAACCTTTTGTTGATTTTCATGTGTAAAGTTTTGAGCTTTACAGGTTTTAGCCTACTCTCCTGGTCAACCCACTCGCCAAAGATGTTAAGTTTAAAGAGTGCTGTTCATGAAGATCTACGTTGGACTTTATGTTTTAGATTTAAGGGTTTTGTTTTCTGGAGTTTTTGAAACCGAACTTTCACACTCAGCTGCAGTTCTGTGTTTTTTTTTTTTATAAAAAAATTTAGAGTTTTGATTGTTTGAAAGCACTGTGTGAATTCAGAGTCTCTGCCATAGTTGTCGCCTGTGGTGTTTTGGGTTTGGGGTCTGAATACTCATGAAGAGATGAAGCGCTTTTCCTTGTAATATTCTAAAAGTTGTGATGTTGCAGTTGGATGGGGATGTTTCCAGATGGGTTTTGGGAGAAAACCAGACCCAGAGCCAGGAAGGTGCAGAAGAACAGATGGCAAGAAATGGAGATGCTCGAGAGAAGCATACCCAGATTCCAAGTACTGTGAAAAACACATGCACAGAGGAAGAAACCGCGCAAGAAAATCTCTGGAAAGCCCGACGGCACTCTCGTTCACCAACAGCAGCAGCAACAAATCTTTCCCAAGTCCCAACTTGTCTTCTTCCTCTTCCTCTTCCGTGGATGGTTACAGCAACAGCAGCAGTATCATCACTGCTGCTCACCAGACAAGTCCTAGGTTTAGCAGCAACAGCAGTAGTAGCAATAACAGTAACAGTAGCAGGGGCTACTTGAGCTATTCTCTCAGCTATCCTTATCCATCTCCTTCTTCATCATCATCTAAACCAAGTGATTCTGGTTTGTCACTTCAGAACAGTAGCTCTCATTTGAATGTCTTGGCCTCTGGTGCTTGTCCCCAGTCCGACAAAGATTTCAGGTTCTGTTCCTTTACACATTGCTTCAACCCCTTTTTCATTGACCCTATGCCATATATTTGCTTGCCTGCGCTGCTTTTTCTGCATCATTTTTCATGTATTGGTTAAATGCGAAAACAATTTCAGGTACTTGCATGGAACGCTGGAGGGAGTTGGTGAGAGAACATTCTTTCCAGAAGCTTCTAGAAGCTTCCAAGAATCTGCCTACCACCAACCGCTGACAGCGATGAGCAGTCCGTATCATCAACGGGAACACTGTTTTGTGTTGGGCACAGACATGTTCCACAAACCCCCAGTAGCTGTCACAAAGGCATCTGAACAACAGGAACAAGATCAAGAACAGGAACCCAAGAAGCCTCTCCACCATTTCTTTGGAGACGACTGGCTCGATCTTTCCTCCAACCCAGAGCGGTACAAACCCTAATCTGAAGAAAAATTAATCATTTGTGTCTTCTATGTTTTATCTTGTGAAATGGTAAAAGAACATCAAACGATGACGTCATCTGTAACACACGAAAGAGAAGTTCGAAATGTTCGCTAGTGTCAAAGTTCATCTCTTTCTTTTTATGGGGACATCCAGAGAAAACACTGTCGCAGAAAAGCTCTCTCTCTCTCTCTCTCTCTCTCTCTGTGACAGTCATTGTCGTGTAAGAAGATGTGTTTCTTGCAGGGGAAAGTAAAACATGACAAGAGATTTGCATATTCGGAATCAAAGCATTTTTGGTTTGGACATTAATCACTTTGCATCCGACACACCACATTATGATCCAACGACATGAATATCCTTATATATATATATATATATATAAACAGCATATAGGGTCCAGAGAAAAACCCAGCTCAATCCTATTTCCATACCAAAGAAAACGCGTAATGCAGGTCCTTTAACCATCTTTTGAACCGGTCATTCCTGTTCTTTCACCAGACCCATGTTAATTATCGTATGAACCTATAAACAACGCTCGCCATTCAGCATTATATGCAGACACATGCACGAAAATACGAGATTTCTCAGAGCCGAGAGATGCAACTGATAGAAAGATCGTGACAATATATAACTTGCCGGGTTTTGCAATTCTTCCTACCCTTTTTAATCTCCTGAAAAAGTTCTTGAGCTCGAATTCATACCTGAGAAACAGCATTCTTGATGCTTGTAGAATCGCAGCTGGAACCAAACGAATTCTCATACCGCCTGTCGGGAAGAACATATTAACATGGCTTTGATCATCCAAACACTAAGAAAAACAACCAAGATATCATCGCCCAATAATCAAGGCCAAGATCATAAAACAGGACTTGATGAAGCAGAATGTAACAAGAACCTCTCCAATGGATAAAACAAATTCGGTACCATATGATTCCTAAACAATTTCACACGACTCACAAAGTTACACATCCATTTCTTTCTTCTTCTTCTTCTTCTCGTCCCCCTCCTCTCTAGTTAGCATTTTCAGGTATGCAAAATGAAAGCTACATGATCTCAACGAAGTGAACGAACGAATGGTTCAGACTAATAAGGAAGAAATACAGAGAAAAGGGCAGAAGGAATTGTTGTCAACGGAGAATTTTACCAATTTACAGAGGAAACAAGAAGTGCTCCAATGGAGGAAACACCCATTTCTCCGATCAATTACCAGCGCAACTCTTGAATTCAATACGAATCTCTCGTCTTCAGAAGCTGCCTTCTCTTGAAAACCAAGAAGGTAACGACACAGACCTGCAACATGGCTGCAAACCCCGCAAAGACGATTCCCACCGTCTTCCCTGTGTTAAGCTCACTTCTTTTCGACTTCTCCTCGAGCTGCAGCCGAGGCGGAGGCGGAGGAGGCCGAAGCCGGCGGTTCCTATTGGGCGAAAAGTTGCTATTCTTACGCGGTGGCGGAGGAGGCGGAGATTCCGGCGGTGGAGGAGGGGATGCCGTCGGAGGCAGAGGTGGCAGTGGAGGCTGAGGCGGAGGGGGCTCTGACGGCATTGGCGGCGGCGGCGCTGGGATAACGGCCACGTCAAGGGGCGGCGGCGGCGGCGGAGATGAATTTATTTCCTCAAGCGGTGGCGGTGGCGAATTATCCACTGGAGTTGGCGGTGATGGAACTCCAGTTTGTGATTCGACGACGAGGAAGCCATAAATGGTGAAAACGAGGCCGAGAACAAAAACATTCACGTTCGGATTTTTCGAGACGAAATTCAAATTACCCATTTCATCAAATCGGATGGCTCGACGGTCAAGGAAACGGGCATTCCTTCACCGTCACCGGAAAACTGGAATTTGTTTTCGGAGTTCCTTCCAATGGCGGCATCTGGAATTCACGCCAAAAAAAGCCAGAAAAAATCCCGCGAACGAGGCTACGAGAGATTCCTTAGGTCTTCGAAGCTTGCATTGATAACCACGTCCACGCGAGGAATCGAGGAAATAGGTATCCCATTCTCGTCCCTATTACCTGATTCCAGAGATATGTCCACCTTTTCGAAAACCCCAGAAACAAGAGGAGAGAGGGAAGAAAGGAAGAACCCTGAATCTGAGTCTTTGCAAGTTGGAGGTAAAATCGCTCGTGGATTCGAAGAATCAAAGGAAAGGAAGCAAGTGGGTATGTCCGAATTCCCCAAAATTGAACAGGGCGATTCGAATTCAGAGGAATCACGGCTTCCAAAGGGAAGCCGGTGACGGAGACGGAAAGAAAGCAAAAGGGTGTAAGGATGGTTGAATGATAGGATCATCACCATAGGAAATTCGCGAAAAGGGGTAAACTTTCCGGGAAAATACAGAGGCACAGAGAGAGAGAGAGTTGTAGAGCAGTAGAGGATAGAGGGCTATGGGAAGGGAAGATTACTTGCGGATTTACATTTACATCATCATCATCACACACATACTTGGAAATAAACCCAACCATAAATATATGATTTTAGTGGAGAAACAGACAACACTTCAGTAGAAACTTGATTAAAGCTGAACAGATTTTATTTGCATTGAAATTAGAAGATGAACAGAGTTTGGGCGTTTCAACAAAGGAGAGAGAATAAAAATACTTTCTTTAGCTATGTTATGATCATCTTTCATTAGACAAAAATGTAAAAAAAAAAGGTTAGGTTTTTGTTCAGAAATTCGTAGGCCAGCTCATATGACCAAGTTGAGGTTGCTGGTAATTACCCACTTGAGCCGCAGGAGTAGGAGCAACTCCAACTCCAACATTACCACCCAGACCCGGTCCCATATGGTGCGGACTCGCCATTGCACCACCCGGCTGAGCCGGGTGGAAAAGTCCCTGGAACTGCATATGAGATGGCTGAGCCGGATGGGCCATATGGTTCGATATATATGCACCGTGAGGCGTTTGCCCGGCCGCTACATTGTAGTACGGTGGAGACTGCAAATCTCTCGGGTTTTGCATCCAGATTTCAGAACTCTCGGCCTGTTATCAAGTAAAAGAAACCCGAATCAAGATCATACCGATTCTAGCTCAACAGGCGAGGCAAAAACCCTAATGTTTTTTCCTTACCTGAGGATTCGGAACATAGAAACTTCCATCTTTGTACTTCATACGAGATTCCTCGAGTCCAGAAGCATTACCGGGTGAGTTGATGGGATATCCGTTAGGGTTGTTGAAGCTCTGAAAACCCGAAGGACCGCCAGTTGGGACCGGTTTAAATTGCTGGATCCCATACTTGATACCATTGGCACCAAGGTGAGAACCGCCTCCAGGCATCAACACATAACTGCTGCCATTCGAAGGGTGTGTATATGCTGCCGGGTTACCAGAGTAGCCTTGTATAGGCATTTGAGGAACATAAACCGGGGGGATGAACTGACGGTATGGCATAAGATTTGGAAAATGCGAAACATGAACCTGTGGGTAAATCTGTGCCATCTGAGCTTGTTGCTGCTGCTGTTGCTGCAATATGGGAAATGCGGACGCAGGGACATTGGTGTCATTCGTATTAAACGCCTGTCAAATAAGAAATGGTAAGAACGGATAAAGTTGGTATGTATAATATTGGATGAATTTCAGGAGCTCATTTAGCTATTCCAAGATGGAACAGAAGTGAAACAAAGACAACAGTACTAAGTATAATTAAACTCATATTGATCAAACGGTAGCACCAGAAAGAAAAACTAAACTACCTCTTGTGGAGATGGTAATCCTTGACTTCGTATGTTTTCGTCTATTGAAGGTCTGAAGTATGGAAAATCATAACCAGCCTGTTGGAGAGGACATTACACATGATGAGATCAACCAAAAAAGCATTACCAAACACTGTTGCTTTGTCTTTTTTGGCTCTGGCCTACCAAAGTTCAGGTAACTTTCAGAGTTACAAGACCAATAGCATCACTATGAGGTTTTGCAAAGTTCCAGTTAAGAGATAACTCACCGAAAAATTTTGAAGTTCAGGAGTATCTTGCAGCTGTTTGGACTCTGACGAAGTATAAGGTGGTCCATTTCCACCGAGCAATTCAATCCCGGCAATCTCATCCAAGTTCTGAGATGTTCTAGATTCCTCTTTTTGTTCAGGCAATTGCTGTCCTGATGATGTCGAGGCTGGAGAGCCAGATCCCGAATTTCTGACTTGATCATCGAGAATATCAACAGGTTTGGTGCTAGGAGCATCATCATTTGAAGCTTCGGGAGGAACAACTGATAAACTGTCATCAATATTGCCAAAGATCTCAATCTTTTTTCCCAAAGATATAACACGAAAAAAATATCCCACTGTTTGATAGCACTCACCTAGAACCAGATTCACATTCATGTGCTTCTGACAAGCATGCTTCCTGGAATCCAGATGCTGAATTCCCGGAAGAATCAATCTCCAGCACAAAGCTACCAAATGTTAGCTGACACCGATCAGTCTCTGGGACACGGATATGTTCCGCAATGATAACGTTCTGACTTTCGCTGATATTAACATGCGAAAGTTTATCTTGCAACTTAACCGATTCTGATTCCAGGCTGACAGAATTATCAACTCGAGCAGCAGGTGACTTTTTAGGAGTTCTAATTACACCCGGATTATTCCCACCATATTTTTGGTTTGATTTAGGCTTCCACTCCTTGCTCTGTGAGACAGCTGCATGAAAGAAAGGTCGATCAGGTCTGCCAAAATATGAAGTATCCATTACCAAAACATGAAGTACTCATCAAAATATAACATCTCATAGAACTGTAGAAGAAGTTATTGATATAGGGCTTTGTAATTAATAATTAAATGGTTAATGATTAAAAGCCAACATGAAAAGATAGGAACTGGCGACCAACGATCTATTTACTTCATGAATACCCACAGAAATATGAAGAATATTACCCTTTGGATGAGCACCACCTTGCTGCTGTGTTCTAAGATATTGGTTGCCCCTATTGCCATGGTGACTATTCGAGAGAGCTCTATTATTGGATGAAGCACTCAGCATAACAGACTCTCGTCTAGTAGTTTGATTGAGTTGATCAATCTTTGAAATTGGGGAAAACGGTCGGTATGCTTGAGGAGGAGCCCCATCTTTTCTCAGAGGTGCTGATGAAACTTTGAAAACATTTTCTGAATGTTTTCTGGTAAAACTTCCACCCCTAACTTCACGCCTGATAGCACCGATAGGTGATGATCTAGAATCAGGAGATGGCACATGAACTGGGTCAGTGGAAGATGAATATACCCCGACAACAGAATTGCTTGCCAGCAAAGTTGCATCTTGTGCTGGCTGCTGTTCCTTGGAGAGTTCTTTATGGCTAGAGCCATGCAATGGAGCATCACTGTCAGCCTGCCCAGATTGTGTGTTAACTGGTCCATTAGAAATATGAACTGAATCTTGACCACCAGAAGGCTGCCGGTTGCCTGAGCCACCAGCTGAGCTGGCACATTCATAGAAACAGAACCACATTACTGCTTTGGATTATTCCACAGAACTTGGTAACAAGGATTTTGCTGAACATTTGAGAAGACGGGTCGGGAAATCATTCTTGTTCCAACAAGTCCTCTATCCTAGAAGTAACTATTACTTTCTCAGGGCTGCTCTCCAGCACCTGACATGAATAACATGCTTATCCCTTCCCCAGTTCATTATAGCCCTTTGCCATACAACAAGACCACACCTATTTGCCAAGAATCCTAACCTCCCAAATCTCACTAAGAAATTTCAACTAGGCTAAGAAATTTCTATTTTAGGTAACATTGAAAACCAAAGAAAACATTACTTCGGCCATTTCACAGATAAGAGAAACATAGCAAGGCATATGCTAATAGATTAAGCTAGAATAAGGGGAAACCAGGATAAAGCACCCTAAGAGAAACATACCCTTTTTCATTCCCACTGGCAGGCATTTTGTCAATGTTTGATACAGCAGATTGAGCGGAAGAAGGCTTCAATTCCCCATTGGCATTTTGACTAGACCTGTTGTCCCTAACAACACGAAACTCTCTGTTGGTTCCTGCACTAGCAAGAAACTACTAATTAATTCACAAACCCAACAACCTCAAGCACCTAGACAAATATCTTCGGTATATCTTATGAAAATTGAAGCTCCTACACCATTACAACGATGTGAAACCCAATTTAAAATCTATACAGCATGTAAGCATAACATGCAACAAATGTGAATCATTTTCCTTGAGCCGAGAATGATTCGTTGGTTTCATGAAATTTACATCCAGTAAGAACAGTAGGTTTGAGTGAACAGTTCTACAACACCTTTCTTCATATACAGAGTGGAAAACTAGGAAGAAAAAGGACTTCAGAAAAGGCATACAGGGGACAATGACATTTAAATAGTGTATTGAGTTACCAGCAGTAGAATTCCGATGAGATGCATTACGAGGCGCAGTGCTGCGAGGAAAATAACTACGGCTGTAGCCTCCTCTACGAACAGGCTGTACTTGAAATTTCACTTCTCTTGTAACATCGTCAGAGGATTTCTCTCCACTGACTGGACGATCAAATACTGCATCCTGAACCAAAAGCACACGCATTGAAAAGCACATCGATATAAAGACAGAATTTCAATCCCCTTTGCACATGACCAACATCTAGAGAAGCTGATCTCCAAAATGAACTCAAAAAACATAGAAGAAAGGTTAGCCTTCATCGGAATACATAAATGTGAATATGTGATATAATGTACCCTTCCTGAATTCATTGGAAACCCACCCCAAATGATCAGATTTTTCAACAAGTGATAGTTTGAAGATTCACTTAACATGAAGAAAGATTACTGCAGCAAGACACCCTAGAGATGTTAGACCTGCAACTACTTCAACCGAAACTATCAACAATTCTGTCACTACCATCACCTTCCTCATCCATGCAGCCAGGAACAGAGAAAGAAATAGATCATAGTAAAACTCTTCAGCACTGTAAAAGTCTGCAAATACAGCAGAAGACGTGTCAAGGGTTTTAAAATTACCTCTTTCTTCCTTTCTCTTCTTCTCTTCACCTCATGAAATGGATCTGAGCCAAAGAGAAGCGCTTTAGAAGCAAAAACTTGAACTATAATTTAAGCCAAAAGACGAAAATACACATTTATGATAAACAAACAAAACAAGAATTTGCATAACAGGAAAAAAGGTCTGAAACAATATACAATCTCACAAATAGAAATTTGAGAACCATTAATACAACATTGTCCATATAGACAACAATTCAGAATTCCGGAGGGTGACAAATATTTTTCACTGGGAACAGGGTCCTAAGCTAACCTCAATCTAATAAAACAAAATCCCGGAAGTTCGCAAAACACGACCAACACATATGGTATAAGCACAAAAAAAACTAAACTTCGCAAATGTTTTCCTTTCTAGCGGCAGAAAACTTCAAACCCAATACTGTAGACAACACAGACACCAACAAGATGCTGCAGCAGTCATCGTGATTACAGTCAGAACGTTGAACTAAATAAGACACCAGAGGACAAAAAGACAACCCGGGAAACAAAAGATTACGCCCGAAGAAAGAAAACCCTAGATTCCGACCAAGGCAAAGACAGGAACAGTGTGTGTGAGAGACAGAGAGACAGACCTTGAAGAAGCAGCCTCTGAGCAGTCTCGTCAGCGTCCATGTTAGCTTCCTTCAAGGCGGCGTAGATATCAGCGTCGGAGTGATTACCCACAATTTCCTTTATCGACTGAATCGTCTTTCTCACTCCGTCGTCTATTCCCGCCGCTGGATTACCGCTGGTTCTGGAACCGCTCGCCATCTCCCACCAGAACAACCGTCGGATCGAAAAAACTTCAGACAATATCGATAGGGGAAGCCCGAAAACAGCAGATGAGAACCGACTGGAGAATCAGACAGAGGGAGGGTTAGGATTTGTGCGAGTCGGAGGAAAGGGGTGATATTTTGGGCCTTAAACCCTAAAAACTGTACAGGGAACTAGGGTTTCGTTCCCTTGTGAGAGGAGAAGAAGAGGCTAGGGGTTTGGGAAACATAGGGTTTTTCTGACGCGTTAGACGAAAATTCTGTTCAAGACAAGACCGCTCATTGCCAAAATGACGGTATTACCCTTTCGAGTTTCCGAGAAGCATACGATACGTACGTACGTATTCTTCTTTTATGACGGTTTTAGTTTACTAAACATCTTTTAATCTCTAAATAATTTTGCAATCATTGGTAAATTAAGACAGATCAAAACCAAATTGCAATTAGTCTTCATCATAATCAAATCATCATGTCAAATATTTATACGATTTATTACAAAACTAAATTAAAACCGGGTTAAACCAATGTATATTCGAATTTGGTTAGTGAAGGAGTAATACCCATGAGTCTTTCATTTCATAATAAGAAAAATACAATTTTTTTCTTAATATTTAACGAAATCATGTACATTGTTGAATGGATTTATTGTTTAAAAAAAAAGGTAAACATGGCATTATTCATTTCTTACGGTAGATTGGGCCATATTAGTTAATTAGGCCCAAATAATTAGCATTTCGAAATTTTAAAAGGATCAACAGAAGTAAGGCCCAATAAGCTTATATTAATTCGTACACCCTGCCGCATCAGATCACAACCCCCCCCCCCCCCCCCCCCGTACGCGCTCTGCATCATCGTCGTTTTCTTCGCCGCCGTCGTGACGGAGTGGCTCCCCCCCCCCCCCCCCCCCCCCCCCCGGGGTCCCGTATATAGCGATCTGCCTCTCGATGTTTTTACTCTTGAAACCCTGATCGATCAATCAATCAATCTCTCTCTCTCCCTCTCTCTCTCTTTCAGATTCTTGGTTTACTCGTTTACCGTTCTTCTACCTTCTAATCGTTGTTGGACCCTAGCTTTCTCCGAAAACCCTAACTCTTTGCCTCGTGAATCACCGGGTTCGTCCTCTCTGATCATCTTGAAGGCGCAGTTGGTTATTTGTCTGATCGGTTCAGCTTACCGAGGTAAGGATCATGTTCTTAGGTTTCTTTCTACGGCGTTACATTCGATATATTATGCGAAATCGGCTCGGGTTCTGGAATTTTGGTGATAAAGGTTTTTGATTTAGGGTTTTCTTTAGTGCAATACAACTTCAGGGTTGTATGTATTGGAGATCATTATTCTGAATCGCACATTATTCCTTGGTTGTTGATTTAGGGTTTTCTTTAGTGCAATATACAATGCGCACTGAAACTTATGATGAACCTGTATGGGAATTTTCACCCGTCAAGACATTATTCCTTGGCGTTTCGCTATACACTGGCAATGTAGTTGGAATGTTTTGGTTGTTTTCTCGTTTGCGTGTTCTTTGTTCTCAAGGGCTTATCGGTATAATTCCCTCTTCAGTTAGTGTCGATATTGGAGGCTAGCGCAAATTTATATTTCTCGGGTTTTTCAAAGTTCTAATCTTTTTTGTTTCATTTTTGTACTAACTACGGGGATTCTGATCGGTGATTCAGCTGTCGTGTGATTTTCCATGTAACTCCAAATCAGCCTCTTGCTCTGTGGTCTGGATCGAATAGTAGCATACACACACACACACACCCATATAACTTCTTGCTTAATGTCCTGACTGCCAAAAGTTTGGGTCTGCTAAAAACTGTGATCTTTGTTGATTGTTTGTCTTGCCAGAGTGCTTGTGAAAATTTCAGAACAGTTGTGCCACTCGCTTTGCAGTATATTGGAGGAAGTGGAAAAATATATATGTTTATTTGATCCGTTGTTTATGTAATTGAATTTGAATAGATGGAGCTGGTGAAATAGATGTGGCCATTTTCTTAATTAATTCTGCACCAGTTTTGAACGGTCTTTTAGAAATTAGCCATGGGGATCTGATGTCAGCAAGATTGCACATGTGATCTCAATTGCTTAGTGGGTAGTGGGTACATTGTGCTGTGACAGATGCTAGAGAAGGTCATTGTCTTGAATATCTGGTACTACTTACTAGTGGGCTTTTATATATTGATCGATGTTCCTTTCTTATCTTTCGGTTTGCATAGTGTGAGCTACCATGAATATGCAACCAGTCTTACGTCCGAGATCTTCAGCTAACGGATTCTCACATAGAAGAGCTGAAAGAGAGGGAGGGATGAGTAAGGCACATCCTGTAAACTCTCTCCCTGTTAAGCCACCAAATACAGGTGCTTTGTCAATCATATGTGGTTTAGCTTCTTTTTCATTTTCTGCCTTCTGATACTTGTTGATACATATGCAGTAGTGAGCGGGGAGGCTGCATGTTTGGAGAACCCTTCTCGCGATCGGTTAGTGTATCTTGCAACATGTATGATCGGTCATCCTGTGGAAGTGCAGCTAAAAAATGGATCACTTTATTCAGGCATATTTCATGCAGCTGACGTTGAGAAGGATTTCGGTGTGACTCTGAATGAAGACTCTTTTCCTTAGACATCTAAAGGATATTAGAAGCTTGTTTTTTTTTTTGCTTACAACTTATAAACTGCTCTGGGAATTTCAGGTATCATTTTGAAAATGGCATGCTTGATTAAGGAAGGCACTTCACGAGCACAGAAATCTCGTTCTGAGTTTGTCAGCAAGCCACCGTCCAAGACATTGATTATACCTGCTGATGAACTTGTGCAAGTTGTCGCTCATGTTTGTTGCCCTTCTTCTCTAGAAGATCAGCTATTTTCATTTTTGTCCAGTTTTATGATTTGATTAGTAGTTTTTCTCACTCCTGTTTTCATTGTTTTCTCTTTTGTTTTAGGAGCTTTCTATAACCAGGGACGGAATGTCAGATGCCCTTAAGTGTGAGAAGCCATCAGATCTGTTGACCGACTCTTCTATATCGCAGTCTTCTCGTGTTGACATGGGAAGAGAGCTGAAACCTTGGGTGCCTGATGAGGATTTTCCAGAGTGTCCCGAATTGGAGGATGTGTTTGATGGCCCTTGGAATAGGTAGCTATTTCTTTCCTCTTATTCTGTGTTTCTGGATATCTTGTATGCAAATGCCATGGTTAGATCCTTATGTGCATGGCCATGGGTTTTTTAGCATCACACCTTTGGCATGAGAAGGATGGGAGAAGTCCTCGATTACTTCAATGTTCAGATTACTGTTCTGATACCGTGTCTTGAAATATTAATCTCATTAGCTTAGCATGCATTTATTACATCTTCTGGGAAGGTGTCTAATGTTAGTGTTTTCACTTTTTCATGGACGTGTACTTTGTTGTTTGGGAGATTCCCTATATGATGCAGTGATTAGCATTAAACATTGTGCATGATCCATACCTTTGTAATACCCAGGATCTTCTTAAGACATCTTTGCTTGTGCCTATCTGGCTTTGCTTTCCTAGAGACCATTAATAACATGTCTTCCTAGTGCTAATATGCTCAGCTGATTTGTTGTCTGCCACTAGGGGCTGGGATCAGTTTGAGGTCAATAAGACATTGTTCGGAGTAAAGAGCACCTTCAACGAGGAACTTTATACCACAAAGCTCGAGAGAGGTCCTAAGACAAGAGAGCTGGAAGAGCAAGCCATAAGGATTGCCAGAGAGATTGAGGGTGAGAGCACCCGAGATATTCACATAGCAGAGGTATATTATGTGGCCTCATGTTCCTTTCGATATCGACATTGCAAGAGTTTTGAATTCCAATGTTCTAATGGTTCATGCATGTCAACACCTTAAACAGGAAAGAGGCCTTCAGCTCAATGAGACATTTGATACCGATGAGGAAACCAAGTACTCATCAGTCCACAGGGTTGAGGAATTTGATGATAGTGGGTTAAAAGATGAGGAAGATATATTACTGGACTCATGCAACAATCTGACTTTCGGTGATACATCTGCTTCTGATGGCAACAAGTCGGCTTCAAGTGGTGGCAAAGCCAACGAAGAAGCATGGGTATGATTGAGAGTTCTTTAGTACTAATATATAACAGAATAATTGATGATGTGAAATTTTACTCATCAGGGTGGTGACCTGTCTACTCAGAGAAACTTAAGTACGGATCAAAGCTGTTCGATCTCCGGCAAGATTGTTCAGGAGCATGTATCTGAACAGCCATCCAAAGATTTGTCTGCTCCAGACAGCAATATCAGGTAAGATGTGAGCTTTGTAAGTAATTTTTGTATGTTGAGAATAACAAATACTGAAGCCTCATTCTGATTACAGGACCGAGATACAGTTGAGTGAGCAAAGAAGTAGTAGTCTGGAAGTCGCTGACAATGACAGAGTAAGTTCAATTCCATACTTTTCTTATGTTTGTGTAAATCTCGATTTCATTCGATTTCATTACTAGTTCTATTACACTATGTGTAACACATGGTCCTTTGTTGTTTCCCTTTGTATTAAAGCAGCCATCTGAGGAATCAGTGTCTGGCCTTGGAGGTAGGCGTTTCTTGATACTTCTGTCTCTATAGCCTGTGATTCATGCTTGCTTCTGTCATGCCTTTTTTTTCATTATTTCATGCGGTATTCTACTATCTTCATGTTACCTTAAAATGATATTTTAGCAATGAAACAACGTTAATTGAGTTGTACTAATGGACTCCATTGAATTTGCTAAACGGATAATGGACCGATTGTTTTTTTTACACGGGGCAAACTCTCACAGTATCATAATTCCTTATCGAGAAACCATGTCCTAAGAAATCTGAGTATATGAGGAATTGTGGAATTGCAGATTCTCAGCCATCCTTGAACGAGAGTGAAGAAGATATCAGCAAAAGTGGAAAAGCTGTGGGAACGGTAATCTCTGATCTGCTGCCTCCACCAAAAGCTGGTAAGCCAAAACCCGAGAGCACATCTGGGCATCCTAACAGCTCTGCTTCCGCTACTTCAGAAACTGGTAATGCCGCTCCCTCAGCATCAAGTCGTTCGGGACTATCACCAAGCTCATCAGTCGGGTCTTTGACCTCAGAAAAATCCACACTCAACCCGAATGCAAAGGTTTTTTTCTTTTAAAAAGCTTCATTTCTTTCTTTCTTCCGTCGTTATGTATACTTCTCTACTGGATTTTGTATGATCAGGAATTCAAGCTGAATCCGAATGCGAAGAGCTTCAAACCGTCGTCTCAATCAGCTACAAGGCCTCCATCTCCAGTTGCGGATGGATCCTTCTACTATCCTCCTCCTGTTATCCCACAGATGATGCCTCTTGTTGGCTATGGCGTAAGTAAATCACTCAGCCATTGAAAAAACTTCAAAAATTATGTTAAAAGACTTTTCTAGTCTTCATTACTTTTTGTTCACAAAATATGTTCTTTTGTTTTTTCTTATTTGGGTTTAATAGCAGATGGGACAGGTGTTTCATGGCCAGCAGCCCATAATGTACACTCCACAGCTCTCTCCCATGCAAGCTCCTCCTCAAACAACATACTTTCCCCCAAACGCACCCCAGCCACAGGTAGTGGAAATGGGGAGAAAAAAAAAAAACTTTTTCATGATGTTCCAAAGATAATAATCATCCCCTCAAATTAATCTTCCTTTACTTTTTCTGGTTAAAAATCAAATCTTTTGTAGTACCCTCATCAGCAACACATGATGCTTGGTCAGCAGCCTAGACCGACGGTAGTTTACATGCCTCCGTATCAGCCTCAGCCGGTTAGTGTTTATTTCTCTCCTTTTTAACCTCACCTCTCTCGAAATTCAGCATGAGATTCCCTTCTCTCTCTCTCTCTCTCTCGAGTTCATGGGTGTTTTTGAATTGTTGAAAGGAGTTTTGAGCTAATTCACATGTGCAGGAAATGCCATACGGCAGGGGACGAGACTATTAGAGATGATGATATGGTGGAAGCAATAATCATTTACATCTGACTGCCTTTTACTAACAGAGTGGGTTTGAGTTTTATTCATTTGTTTCTCGTTTGCCTTTTAGAAAAACTCAGTGCTGGACTTTCCTTGATTAGTCTAAAACCATTTGTGATACTATTAACCATCTCACACATTGTTATAATGTAACATATAGTTGTAGGACATGTTCTATTTTTTTCCTTAGTCGTTAGGCTGAATCCGTACGTGTCTTCCCTATGTTTTCGTGATGTTATGTCGGGTTTTAAAAATTTGAAGTACTTGAATGGAAAAAAAAAGGAAAGGTTCATAGAATTAACAACATTATTTGCAAATAAACTAAACCCTAAACCCCATTAGTATGGTAATGTCTCTCTCCTACTTTGCCAATATTATACAATGACTTGCTTGACCTTTGTCTTGATGTTATAATAGTTTTGTATTCGCGCTTAGACAAGTGTGTTGCGTCGGTTTATATGCCAAGTTTATGGTTCAAAAGTTTTCTAAACTATGTTAGAACTATATTTTCAAATCTTTGCAAAATTTCTGATATTTGAATTTTGAAGATTTAACTCCAAGAAGATTGGATCTTGGCTACGTTTTTGACATCACAAAGACTGTTATTCTCGAGCTTTAACTCCAAGAAGATTGGAACAAAATATCTCGGCGGCATTTTGAACAAAGTGAATAAATTTTGTTTGGATGTGATATCCAACCATATTATGACATAAACAACCTAACCATCAATGTGTGGAATTCGGAATTATATTTCACATCGACTGTGATTTTGGTGATCATTTTGAGAGATTAGACGTCATATTCTATCCCGTCCCATTACCTATTTGTTTTTGTATAATAATCGTTAGCGTATCAAAATGAGTGAATAAATATTTCGCCCAACCAACTACCCATATGGTAATTTCAATTGCACCTAAAATAGAGATTAAAAATAAAGACAACGAAGGTGACGTCGAACAATATATATGCAGAAACAAACAAAAAAAACAGATGACATTGTTCGTACGAGAAACCACTTAAAGAAATGATTAAATTAGCATTATTCCGTGGAAATTGTTTATGCATGCATATATATATATGTGTGTGTGTATGTGGTCCATGAAACTAAACTTCTGACCAAAGACATGAATGAACGTTAGCAAGATTGAACTCAAACGTGTTCAAGTGTTTTGTTTTTCTTTTTGACATTTTGGATATGCCCTCCAATGATCTCATTCTACCCATTCAATGTATTATTGTTCATACTACCAACAACTATTGCCTCCTACGTTGTTTGTAATGTATACGAGATTATTGTCCTTGTCCCCATCATCAAAAGCCCAAATGTTATAAAACACTCTATTTGTAGAAACCAAATGGAATCTTTCACTATATTATATCTCTTATTTATCATTTTATTTATAAAAAAAACATTATAGTACAGATTGATTCTTTTGTCTCTCCCGAAATTTAAATAATAATACATAAGACTTTTATTATTAATGATGATACCATCTGACACGAATTTGATCTTATTACAATAATCACCAAAATAACGAGAAATAAGTCCATCATTCAACCACAAGAAACGAGGTATCAAGCCATGATCTTTCTCCCGAAACGTGATCATAATCATAATCATAATCATATGATGATGATGTTCAATTGTCTAAATAATTGTTTATATCTAATTCATCTCATTATCTTTAGAGAAGAGGGCATAACTCAAAACACAAGAGAGATGTTAAAATGTCATCCATTCTACAACTTAGACAAACAAACGAACAAAAATGAGAAGAAACAATGACAAGAGATACGTTAAAATAATCACACTAACAACAAACACCCTTTTCATGGTATAACCTAACACATCACATAGTACTGTACCATCTATATTATACATATATATGTATATATTATATACACATGATATAACATTAGTACACCAACTTACAAAAATGGTCCCCAAATGCAATGAATTCAAAGGCTTAATGGTTCAATTTGCAATATTCAATTGTTTCCCCAAGTCTTACAACCCCCAACCAATTCCAAGTGCGGTTCGTCTCTCCGACACATCAATGTCTTCATTAGTCATCACAATCTTCCAAAAACAATCAATCATCAAAACACCAACACGAGCAACATTATTATAATTAAGTATATTGCCTCCCAAGTAAACACAATTTCATAGTGGAAAATCTCATCTTCGATTTAAACAAACTATTCCACCTTCTCATCATCCACCTCAGAAAACCTAGTAGCATTAACACAATGTCACTAGAAGAATCAGAACCACCAAGCCAGAATTTGGATCATATCCTTGGCTGGCTTGAAGGTTCTGTATCATTCACCCCTTTCTCCGGCTTAGATGATCCGTATTTCCCGCACGGTTTTAATGGTTCTCAATCGTGGGAATGGGATCAAACCCAAGACTTTGGACATGATCTTATTCACAACCTTACTCAAGATCCTAGCAATAATGAAGAGTTTATGAATGATGGAACCACTGACCCGGTAACAGGAGCTCCTGTCATTGTTCCGGATCCTCCACCAGAGCCGCCGCAACCGAGCGATCAGTCCAGAAAAAGGAACAGCGATGCACTTGTGGACGTTAGGGCAGTCAAAAGACCAGCCAGGAGGAGGAGGAACATAAACAAGTCCGCTGGCAAAAGTTGCAATGACGGCGACAAGAGCGAGAGATGGGCAGAACAGCTGCTTAACCCTTGTGCTGTGGCCATTATGACAGGGAACTCTTCCCGGGTTCAACACTATCTCTGTGTTATTCGTGAACTGGCCTCCTCTTCTGGTGATCCTAATTACCGGCTTGCAGCTGCTGGTCTTCGAGCTTTAACTCATCATCTGTCCTCTTCCTCTTCCTCCTCCATGTCAACCTGGCCTGCTCTTACTTTCCCTTCTGCAGAAGTGAAGATGTTTCAGCAGACTTTGCTAAAGTTCTATGAGGTAAGCCCATGGTTTGCTTTCCCTAATAACATGGCAAACTCAGCTATACTACAGATTCTAGCTCAAGAATCCAGAGATAAAAGGGATCTTCATATTCTTGACATTGGTGTTTCTCACGGTATGCAATGGCCCACGCTGCTCGAGGCGCTGAGCCGCAGACCAGAAGGACCTCCTCCTCGTATCCAAATAACGGTTATATCCGATCAAAGCAAGGAATTACCCTTCTCTGTTGGGCCACCAGCCTATAATTATTCTTCTCAACTGCTTACCTTTGCTCAGTCCCTGAACATCAACCTACAGATCAATGTACTTGACAACTTCCCATTACAGAATTTATGTTTCCAAGTCATTGATATCGCCCCTCATGAGACCCTGGTCATCTGTGCTCAGTTTAGGCTGCACCAACTGAAACATAACAGCCCTGATGAGAGATCTGAGATTCTGAAGGTTCTGAGAAGTTTCGGGCCAAAAGGCGTGATTCTCAGTGAGAACAATGCTGAATGCAGTTGCAGCAGTTGCGGAGACTTTGCAACAAGATATTCGAAAAAACTGGAGTACTTGTGGAAGTTTCTAGACTCCACAAACTCGGGATTCAAAGGTCAGGATAGTGAAGAGAGGAAACTAATGGAAGGAGAAGCAACAAAGGCATTAACGAGCGAACGAGAGATGAATGAAGGGAAGGAGAAATGGTTTGACAGGATGAGGAGAGCCGGGTTTGCTACAGAAGTATTTGGAGAAGATGCCATTGATGGAGCCAGGGCTTTATTGAGGAAATATGATAACAACTGGGAGATAAGGTTGGAGGATGAAGATACCTTCGCCGGGCTTTGGTGGAAAGGAGAGTCTGTTTCCTTTTGCTCCTTGTGGAAGTAGCTCTTTATTTATGTCTTTTTTGTTGTGAACTTGCAGATTCTAAAATTGTGCTTCCAAAAGACTTGAGTACACATCTGCAAAGTTTATTTGCTGTTAAAAAAGATAAGGCGCTAATGATAAAGCTGGGCACAGAACTATAATAACTGACTATAAACTGCAAAAAATTTCATTACCACAGAAATCAAAACGAATGACAGAACACAATCTGTTTTCCCTCAAGTATAGTATACACGCATGGATCCCCTGATGGTCTGGCAACAGACAGGGCACTTTGGGGTCAATTCCCTTTCAATTGCCAAGGCACAGTTTGGACAACACACTATATGCCCGCACGGGATAAATGCAGGCATTCTCCTCCTTGTCAAACAGACCACACACAGTTGTCCATCTGGGATATTGTCCGTATCTTCAGCATCATCATCATCAGTCAACGGTTGGCTTGGGCGCTGTGGCTCCCTTTCATGTTTCCATGATTTCCATCTGTTCCATCCCCTGAAGAAAAAATTCAAGGATTTGCTTAGATCACTAATGTGTTCTGTGAAGCTTACAACGTCACTGTGCAGAAGATTCGCAGTAGAAGCAAGATGTAACCCAGTACCTGACAGCAGCATACCCAAGGATGCCAACAGATACACAACCCATTACAATGCTGCTCCAGAATAGTACTTTTGTCTGAAAAATGAGATCCAGTACCATCTTATCCTTTGTCATTTCAGACCTGCAAAGATTAAAAATCAGCTTATTAAATATTTCGGTCCATAACAGTATCTAAACACATCAAGAGGTTTGAAGCAGCGACAAACTTTCTAATAGCAAAATTAGAAAAACGACCAGAAAGCTCGTAACATTCATGCACCACCTACCTTTAAGGTGTGCGCCCCCTTAAAAATTATCGAGTGATCAACAGAAAGAGAACAGAGAGAAACTAAATAATCTGAAGGCAGAGTACAGATTTATTAAGAAAATTTACATCAGAAAAAGAGGAAAAGGTTATTCAGAAGAAAATGTCTCACAAGAAATAGGGAAGATCTTTGCATGACTTGATTTCAGGAACACCATTATTAAAACTGCAGATGCCAACAGCTGTTATGTCTTTTCCAGATGGTAGAATCTTCTCTTCATGAAGCAGACCAACCTTGACCAGATCATATAAAAAATCAGTGGCTGATCAAGAATACGTTGTTTCAATGATCGAAACAAAAATTTATTTGAAGACTCACGGGATACTCAGGGAAAAAGATTGCTTGGAGGAATGAATAAGGAGATGCATTAATAGGCTGTATACGGTTATACACAGTCGTGAGGGGAAGAGGTTGCATTGAGCCATCCAAGTTGACAACAACAGAATTAGACAGTGGTTGTTGATCATTCTCCACGAGAACAAATGGCATCTGCAGGCAATAAAACATATATATCAGGAACTAGTCTAGTCTGGAAGTGAACCAAATTGAAATACCCAAATTTGACAAGACGAGAATTAAGGAGATGGATATAGGCAGGTCACAACCACTATATCATTCTCAAATTCTCGAAATTTCAAGCTTTGGTTCCTATCAGCGATGAAAAATACTATAATAGGCAACTGTCAAGTAAAGAAGAACAGAAGCAGATCTTACCATTCTCAATGAAGAAGCCTCTTGTTTACGCAGAGATCTGCCAAATATAGCTCGGTGGCCACTTGAAAAATGAAAGAAGCTCTTCCATCCACTATACATATACTAAAAGATATAAATTTGAAAAGATGGGATTAAAAGGTTTACACTTGTTCCCCAATGAAACACCTCCAAAGTCATACCATTTATAACTTCACTTCTGAACACAGTCGAAAATTGAGACCGTTCTTCTCACCAAGTTCGGAAGTTAAACCATTAACAAAAAGCTGAATCAGATTCAGTTCTATTGCAAACAAGTTACAGCAACCAATACAGACACGCAAACAAATATATTGGCAGACAATATATAAACAGAAGTGCACCCACACACACACATATACGCACCGTTTGCGTTCTCTCAATAATAACAGCTCTGTCTCCAGTCTCCTGAGAGACCAGCACGTTGTTCTTGGAGCTTCCGCCAACGGCGAGTTTCGGTCTGACGGTCCCGCGAATGATCACCACACGCTGATCATCGCCATTACGGCGATCGTACGGATGAGATTCGTCGTGAGATGTCGGAATCAACGACCGGAGATCGGAGATGCGGAGCTCCGGAGAATCTCTAATCTTACTCAGCGCGGTGGAGCTTGAGGTGCACTTGAGGACCGACCGCACGGCGCCGTAAGCTAGGGCTAATCCGAGGACGGCTCCGTCGAAGGAGAAAGCGAGCTCCGACAAGAGCGAGAGCAGAGCATGCTCCGGCGACGACATTTTCCGGTGATTTCGACCTAGAAAGCGAAGAAGACGGGAAAATTAGTCGACGATAGGGAGAGTGAAATAGTAAATTTCGGGTTACGTCAGGGGTATTATCGTAATTAAATAAGACGATGACACACATTATCATATTCAACGTCGGTTGTTTGGGTCTTTAATGGGCCTATAACATTATTTAGGGTTGTAATATTATTGGGCTTTATTTAGGCATCCGTTTTTTTTGTAATAAGATATACTTTGTTCCTTTTTATCATTTTAATTCTTTTAATCTAAATAACAAAAATAAAATTTCTAATTTTCAATTTTTTTTTTGTAATAAAATGTACTCGTTCCTTTTTATTGGGTTTTATTTCGTTATAAATGGCTTACTCAATTAGAATTGTCATCAATGGTCTGTTCGGCTTTGATCTTTTAAATGGGCCGATAAGTTTTTCAATTCAGAGTTTTTATTTGCTCACATTGGCTTCCATAAAACGCAGCGTTTTATATACCCTTCTGCCTGCCTGCCTGTGTCGTCATCTTCTCCTCCCTTTCGTCTTCCACTGTTTCACATATCGTGTCTGATCTCTGAGCCCCTGAGCTCGAATTTTGTCTCTGCACTTCGCCAGGTAGGGGACTCTGCTGCAGGTTTTTCATGATTAATCCTTGGAATTATCTTCGATTCGTAAGTTAATGGCTCGTTCCTTAGGTGGATTTTACGTCTAGGGTTGAGGCAACGATTTCTGGGTTAATCGCATGGGTTTTGATTCTGTTCCGATTTTCGAACTGGGTAAACGATTTCTTCTCGTGGGTCGGATTCAATTTTATTTTTTTACAGTCTCAGTATATGTGCATGGAATGAGGTTTATACTTGGTTTTCTCCATGGCTTAACTCGATTGCGGTTGCTTGTGATTCTGGTTATGGAAGTGAAGCATAGAATATGGCGGGAGAAGGTGACGAGGATGTGCCGAGAGATGCGAAGATTGTGAAATCTCTGCTCAAATCGATGGGAGTGGAGGATTACGAGCCGCGTGTGATACACCAGTTCCTAGAGTTGTGGTATCGCTATGTCGTCGAAGTGCTGACGGATGCTCAGATTTACTCCGAACATGCCGGAAAATCCACCATCGACTGTGACGATGTCAAGCTCGCGATCCAATCCAAGGTTAACTTCAGCTTCTCTCAGCCACCACCACGAGAGGTATCGTCCTTCTTGCCATCACTGTAATTTATCACTGTATCATTGCAATTAGCTGTCTCACTGTTCGCGATTAGAAGCTGTGATCCTTCGTGGAATATGATTCTGGGTTTGGAATGAGGTTTTTAGGGTGGTTGTGTTTGGATTCGGAAAATTGTTCATCTTAGGTGATGCCATCTTGCGATGAAGATGTGTGTGGTCGAGATGAAGATGTTGCGATGGATGTGCGGACATACACGAATAGACCGAATTCGAAATGAGAGTATTAGAGAGAAACTAGGAGTCATAACCACATAAGAGAAATTATGTGAGGGACGTTTAAGGTGGTTTGGATACGTAAAACGTAGACCGCTAGATGCTTCGGTTAGAAAATTAGAGAGTATAAGGATGGAAGCGAACAAACGATGAAGGGGTAGGTCTAGACTTACTTAGGAACGAGTCATTAGAAATGACATGGATATGTTGTAAATATCGGAGGATATGACGCTTAACCGAAATGAATAGAAAAGAAGAATTTATGCGGCCGATCCCAAATAAACTTGAGATTAAGGCGATGTTGTTGTTGTTAGGTGATGCTATGTTATTGTAGTTAGATCCCTGAAGATCTTAGTTTGGAAGAATAAACCACCCTTGACCCTTCTATTTTCGGTATTCGCTGTAGTTTGGAAGAATAGACCATCCTTGACCCTTCTAATTTCGGTATTCGCTGCCCGGTCTAGAATATGTTAGCGTTGAAACAGGTGTTGAATGTCTTTACTGCATCTAGGACAGGCATAACTGGACAGTTCTTGTCCGGTTTTTTGGATCTGGAGATGATTTTCTGATTCCATGTTTTTGGTAAGGTGCTGCTGGAACTGGCCGCCAACAGGAACAAGATCCCTTTACCGAAATCGATAGCAGGACCGGGTATTCCACTTCCACCTGAGCAAGACACGCTGATTAGTCCGAACTACCAACTCATTGTACCGAGAAAGCCGGCTTCTCATGCACCTGAAGAAACAGAAGAAGATGAGGAAAATGGTGATCCTTCTCAGTCCTCACAGGAACAACAACAGCAACAAACAACAGATCTTCCAAACCGAACTCCTCAAAGGGTCTCATTCCCACTCTCTAAACGCTCCAATTGAGAGAGGGAGAGAGACACTGGTAGCATCCTGCCTGTGTAAAGAACAGAACTAGCAATGGTTAAATGTAACCTTTGTCTATGGATGTGGTGTACACATTCTTGACCAAATGTATGTTTACATGTTCTTTTTATGGGATCAAAACGAGGCTTTTTAGATGGGATCAAAACGAGGCTTTAATGTATCAGCCACCAGAAAAGAAGCCAAGAAGCGTTGAAAGGAGAGCTAATGACAAACAGTTCACATTATATTATATGAATATACATACTTTGTTCCTTTGCATCATCTGTGGGAATCAAACAGTAACTAGAGAGACCGTTCTGTACAACAAATGTCAGAATCATAACCCATATATACATGAATAAAGATTTTTTCTAAATCAAGAATCTGAGGAGGTGAAGTGATCAGCTTCCCCAACCGACCATCGTGCCGGAAGCTGCACTGTCGGGACGTGAGAAGGCGAGACCACGATCGTACATTCGCTGCATCTCTTCTCTGTATTCCATCAGAGACTCGTCGGGAATGGAAGGAGTCAGTTCAACGACATCGCCCATCTTCAGCTTGCACTTGAGATCGTTTACCGGCTCGTGGTTTAGCTTTGGCCTTAGCTTTTCATTCGCGGGTAATGGCATCGTCCCGTACAGCGACCATCTCGAGCTCCCCGGCCCTGCTGCCCGGCTCAGCAGATCCGAAATGGTGGAACCCTCTGGAAACTCTTGCACAGACATCTGCAAATCCAAATACCACCATTGTTCAATCTATGTGTGTATATTATATATATATGCACGTAGAATGTTCATCATGCACGTGAATGTACATACATATCTATCTATCCGCCATGTGAACAGGGGCATAACTACATAAGCATATACATACATGTGCAGAAACATCGAAGCAAAGACCATCCTGACAAAACCGGAGAGATCGGAAAGAAGATAAAACCGACCTTGTCATTCTCGAGGACGATGACGTAGACGGGTCCGTCCTGGCAACGGTGAGGCTTGTACGAAAACGGGCAGTCAACGGAGTGAGAAGGAAACCTGCAAGAAGGGGGCTTAATGGAGGAACACGAAGAGCAAATAGAAGAGCTATCTTTGCTCATCGTTTCACAGTGCCAAGTCACGACCCATCTCGCCCATTCAACCATCTGAAGCACAAACGTGGAATGCTTGCAGTCACCTTCCTTGTACCGCCAATGAGCTGCAAACCCGAATTCCGCTTGCAAATGCATCTCCTTTGTTCGTATTTGAACCTCGAGCGGTACCATCCCATCACCCATCACGACCGTGTGCAAAGATCGGTACCTAAATTTTTTCAAAATCAAAGTCAGAAACAGAGATAGAGTTGTAGTATCTAAGCCACCACCACTTGTACTTGAAGGGGAAAACATGAAAGAAGTGAACTTTACTTACCCGTTGAACTTGGGATGAGTTATGTAATCTTTAAGCTTCCCAGGAACTTCAGACCACAACTTGTGAACCACTCTCAAAGCCTTGTAACAATCTCCCTCTTTGTCCACTATCAAACGCAACCCGTGAATGTCATGAATTTCATCAAAGGTTAACTTTTTCCTGGAGAAGAAACAAAAGGGCAATAAAATCAGTGGCTCGCTCTAATGTTTAGTGAAACTAACACCTAAACTGACAAAAAGATTTCTTTTTTCACTAACCCAATAGACCAAACGAGCATATAAATGCATGGGAGAATGAAAGAGAACGTACTTGGACATTTTGCAGTAAATGCTGTACAAGCTCTTGTGTCGTCCGGACAGGACATGATAAGAAATGCCTTGTCTCTTCAAAGCCTGCTCCAGTTTCTCTATTGCAGAAGTAATCATGGCTTCATCAAAGAAATCCTCGAGCCTAGAGGACATCTCGTGATGCTGGTCTGGGTAAAGATGCTTGAAACAGAGATTCTCCAGCTGGACTTTCCAAGTTGAGATTCCCAACCGGTTAGCGAGCGGAGCAAATATTTCCAGAGTCTCCTTTGCAAACCTCTGCTGCTTAATTGGGGGCAAAGCGTAAAGTGTCATCATGTTGTGTAAACGGTCAGCTAATTTTATAAGGACAGCCCTTGCATCTGCCATGGCTAGAAACATAGTGTGCAAGCGATCAGCTTCTACTGTTTTGCTTGCTGTATTGTTCTCACGAGCAAGTTTACTCAGTTGGCTAAGCTTGGAAACCTGTGGGAAACACAACGAAGGCAAGTCAATGACTTTCCACAGACAATGAAAGATGAATCCATCAGTTCTGGAAGAAACTACTATGGACAAGATCTCGATTATTACAAACTTCTCCGATAAATTTGTGGAAATGCAGCTTAAGAACATGGTTTTCAGACACTATGGCACAGTGAAAAAACCTTAAATCACACCATTCAACAGATCTTTTGTCACTTACCCCTTCCACCAAATCAGCAACTCCAGCTCCAAATGTTTTAAGAATATAATCATAGCTCATGAATGAATCATCCATGGTATCATGTAAGAGACCCGCCACAACAACAGTGGAGTTAGCTCCGATCTTTGCCAACAACAATGCTGTCTCAACGCAATGCTGCAGGTAAGGATCACCACTTGCTCTCATCTGAAAAAAACACACGACAGATCACAAAATTAGCCATAGAAAAAAGCAAAAAAAAAATGAAAAGTTTGAAACTTCCTTCTGGTTCTTCTACCTGCCCTCTGTGAGCTTTCTCTGCCTCGTAAAATGCCTTGATCACGAATTCATCTTCGAAGATCTTGTCCCTCAATTGGGCACGTCTCAGTAAATCCCTAGCATATGGCTGCATCATATCTTCCCCGAACCCAACATCCATTCTGAAAGTGAGCTCATCAACAAGAACAGAATTCGACGATGAAGCCATCTCGAATCCCGGAGGATCGTAATCCACGCACGAACCAAGCGCATTCCTAACGAACCCATTGAACAGTCCGCTAGCTCCTCCGCGGAACGAACCATGGAAGCCCCCGTCGAGGTTCCGATCGCGATAATTTCTCATCGGAGGGCTGCTGCTACACGATACCGGACCATGAAGCACCGAGACGGGGCTTTGATCCCGTTTAAGGTACGAGGAACTAACGAATTTGGTCGGAGAATAACAGAACGAGCTGCTCAAGCTCAGATCCTTCAAATCATCGCTCCGATCGTGACGTATGGACGCTGATTCGTCTCCTCCGGTAGGGTACGATGAGCAGGACGCCGCTGATTTGACGGATGCGCCGGAGAAAAGCGAGGAGAGGCCTCCGACGATCGGCGAAGACGCCGTGGAAGATGCCGACGAGGTCGACCTGGAATTCAGATCGAGATCACAGGAGATATGGGCGTTGATCTGATGCGGCGTGGAGCAAACGCTGCTCGGTGGGCTCGCGTAGAGCGCTATCGTCGTCGCCACCACCATTGGAGCCCGCTGATTCTGGTGCAGAATCCTTAGGTTCAGGCTTCAGATTCCAAAATTAAAGATCACAGATCAAGGAAACCCAGAAAAACTTTTTTCGAATTCGAACTTTTTTTCTAGTACCCAGTAATAACTCTCCTCAAGCACGTCAATTTCCCAGAGTTAGAATGATTCCCTAGAAAAATCTCCTTTTTTTCTCTCTCCCTCGGGACACAAACAGACTTATCAAAACCCACGAGCTTTGACACGAATCCCCGAGGCACCCAATTGGATTCTAAACGAGAAAAAATTGAAAATCTGAGAATTTTAGATAGATTGGAAGAACAGATCGAGCTGAGATATGTACAATTTATACGAGCTCAAGCATGAAATTCAACTGGGAAAAATACCTAGAAAATTTACCGATAGGGACTCCAATTAGAGACCAAAAAAAAAACAAGCTACGGGAAGAGAAGAAGAGTCGAAGACGCTATGCAAAAAGGAAAGAAATCGATATTTTTCTTCTTCGGATTTGCTTTCCGAGAGAACCAACCCACTCTCTTCGTGTTCTTATTCGGCTGATGTTCGACCAGTGACCGAGAATTACGGAAATACCCTTCGTGATTATCCGGGATTAGTAACAAAAGCGGGGTTATTAATTGGATAGCGTCGTTGTCTAATGGCGATGATTAGTAATTTAGTATAACTGCCAGCTTAAATAAACTAATCCAAAAAATTTTTATATAAATTAATCCAAAATCTTTGAAAATTTAGAAGTTTAATTTGCCACGAAAAAACCCGACAAAAAACCATTTGATTCAAGATTAATTCTAATAATAGCGCAAAGCTATTAAATGGCTTTTAATTAATGTTTGTGAAAGCGACAAGACAGATGGGTTTGGATATAATCATATCTTAGTCAAGTGCGCGTGAGAAAATTTATACGCGGATAATATTTAATAATAGATAATTAGATATAATCCTATAACAGTAAAAACAAAATTACCATCTACATTTTTTTCTCACCCCGTGATTATCCAATTTATTCTAATGGAATCATTTTCTATGTCATAACGTATTTTGAATTTATTTTTGGCATATTGTTCTTTATGTTATGCGCATCTTTTTTTTTTTTTGTTATAATGCTTAAACATACTTCCTTGATTTATAGGGCATTGCAACGTTTCTTTTTTAAAAAAAAAAACGGTTTATTAATTACTCCCTCCATCGATTTTTCTCCAAATTTTAAATCATTTACTATTTCCCGACTATTTAATTTATTTAATAATCACATTTATTGTCTAACTTAATAACCAAGTGTTTTAACAAAAAAACTTAATATCCAAGTGTTGACTTCTTCAACTTAAAAAATGAGCAAATAATCAAACTATATTTAAATTTACAAAGGACAACAGTGACATTTCAACCAACCCTCACACCCTCGCTAAATATATTATAATTACATATCAAGAAAATTAATTAATTTCTCATTTTCTTCAAAACCTTTCTCGAAGATCTAGAGGGTTTCGATAAGGACACCGACGTGTCTCGCCACAGCGAAGACAAACCGCCACGTGGCATAACTGGGCAAAGTTGACACGACACGCGTCCGAATTGGCGGCCGTGTACACGTGTCACAGTCCCGGACTTACGGGGATCTTCTACCAAATCAACGGCTCTAATTCAACCTCGTTTTTCTCCAGCGTTAGATCTCAGCCGTAAATCAGATTCGCCTCACCTGTTCTGTACATGGTCGGAAGGTCAACTTAACCTGCTACAAGCGGAGGTTTGTTCGATATATAAAAGTCTTCAAGTAATTATACAAATAATTAAAATTATAAAAAATCTAAAGAAATCTAATATTGGACGTGATATTATATGGTTGGATCAACTTGAAAAAATATATTTTGTTAGATGTTTCACTCTACATAACATCTTTATATTTTTTGGTACGTAACTCCACTCCACATGCATTATTCTATGAATCGATTCAATTATTTCATTAGATATGTACATATAGCAGAATCATGAAAAGAAACGTGATATTATATTTGCGTGAACAACATGATGGGGAGAGGTGGTCCAAAAAACGACATGAAGTGTGTTTTGAGTTTTCACACAAAGGGAGATGTCTATAAAAAAAACGTGCAAACAAAAGCCACCCACGACTTTGGCACGTGGTCGTATAATCCTCCTCACTCTTTTCCTTCACGCAATATGCTCCCTTGTCTTTTACTTTGCGTTTTTACTTTGCGTTTTTGCTTGCTCTTGTATGTATATATATATATTTGATGCATGTGAAAAAAAAAACTCAACAATGGAACACACATTTTGATTTCGATGCGTTCAATATCGAATGTTAGATCCGTTGTAATAGATAAATGATTAAGGATTTAATTCCCATTTAAACGGGTTTTTTATAGTATTGATTTTACAGTATGTACATATGTTTAGACTGGGTGTGAAATGATTACGTATAATTTTTTATAGTAGAGTTAAGGTTTATACTCATATCATATAGATTTTTTTATATATATAGATGATTAGTTGTGTTCTACATATATATAATGTCCAAATCATAAATGAACTCGAGGATATTTTCATTGGAACCCTAGACGTGTTTCGATTAGTTTGGTGTATACGTAACTTGTACTCACATACGTTGCATGGTATTATGAAAACCAATAAAAGGGTTAATTTCTTTACTACTGTAAACACAGTTTTAGAGGTTTCTACTTTTAAAATACGTATTTCATATCTATACATATCGTATTGTTATAGTGATGAACGACATCGTTTTATTGAACAATTGATGGGGGCCCAGTATGGTTGGACACTACTTGGAAATGCTTGTAGCGGCCTGGTCTTGGCCCATTTGTTTAATGGACTACCGAGTCCAAATATTGAATCAGAAGACTGCTATTTTTTTTTAAAATTATTTGCACATTAAGCATAATTATACTCTTCGAAATGACCCATAATTTTATAAAATGTGTCAAAAAAAATTATATAAATTTTTAATTTTGTAAATAAATACACCGAATATTTAAATATACCAAAAAAATATCTCAACTCTTAAAATTGAAAGCAAATTCTTATATATTGACAGTTAAGGATCGAATATAAAATTTCGTTTAATATCTATTAATTAAAGTTCTTGTACGAAATAATTTCAAATATTTTAAATAAAATCATAGACGGTGTAATTGAGGTCCGTGTATTGCTGTCGTTTTGAGAAGTTGATGTATTTTTTTGACACATTTCAAAATTTGATTATTTATTTGTTAAGTTAAAAGTTGATGTATTTTGTTGGTATACTTTATAAAATTTGGGTATTTTTATGAGATTTTTCCTAAAAAGGTTGAAATAAATCCATGCAAATGAATGGAATACAAATATGATGTAAAAGTTATTAACAAAATAAATGAAAAAGAATATCAAATATGAAACTAAATATTTTTAAACAAATGAAATCCTAATAAAAATAAAATAAAAAACTGATGCAAAAATCACAATCGATATAATTATGTTTTTTTTTTAAATAACGATCTTGAAATTTGCAAACGTGATTGGTCACAGCTTTAGAAATTTGATTTTATATGAAAATATTAATGTATGTTTGATTTGCCATTTTTTTAACCTTCAGCTAGTTTTTTCTTTCTCGTTGTTTAAAAATTCAAAATTATTTTACTTCTGTTGACAAAAGAACTATATATATATATATATATATTAAAGATGTTATAAAAAATTTTGCTTGGATCTATAGAAATTTCAATAATATGATTCGCAATCAAGTTATGGTCGATCCGATGGTCCATCTGGAAAGTGGTAATAGAACATGACCTTATTCAGCCACGGAGATTCTCAAATCTAAACGCAATCGTTCAAAATCCCATTAAAATATCAATTATCCCTAATAATAATAATAAATCCTTTTGTCATGAATGATGTAATGAATTGTACAACTCATTATTTTTTTAATTGAGTGCTAATTATATTACTGTATACCTAGATATTGTAGTTAGATTTTAATTTTATATAATTGTATTCCGATTAAATTATTTTCGTCCAGTCGATTGTAATTTGTATCTCAATTAAATTTGATTTAGAAATAGATAGATATGTAATTTTTTTTGAAATAAATTTAATTAATTTAAATTTCACTATAAAAATGGTAATTGAAGAGAGAGAAAATATAGAAAAAAGTTATAGAAATTATATTCCATAAAATTTAAAATACTAATCAAATAGATACCATTTTTATAACAAAAAAGCAAGGTCAAAGCAAAATTAATACAATTTGAACCTACAAGCCTTTCATAAGGATCAAAATCCAATTTCATAAGGATTAATTAGTATTTTGATCGGTTTGGTACAAACTAATCCTATATAATAAAGTTTCACTTTCCATTGGATACTCATTCAATTAAAAAAAAAGAATTAAAACCTATAATGGTAAAAATACAACAATTAAATGAAACAAATACTCAAAATAAATAAAAGATAAATTGAAATAAAGAGTAAAACTATACAAGAGAATAACAGTGTCGAGCACGGTCGTGACCGGACATGGAGGAGAAGGAGAGGCCGAGGCCGGGGACGGCGAACGCCGCCGCCTCCACCGCCATCCGCTGCTGAATGGCCTCGAATCCGGCGCCGGCGCCAGCTAATTCCTTCAGTAAATTACGATAATACCCCTTGATCTTCCTCACGAGTCTCACGTAGCGCAGCCTCATCCACTTCAGCCTCATCCTCCTCACCATCCTCTTCACCGGCGACAGCTCTCCACGTGGCTTCCCTCCCAGTCGTATCGCCGGAGGCTTCCTCCGCCGGAGATGGATCTTCCGGCGGATCTGCGGCCACCGGAACACGGCGGAGGTGATGGATGCCATATATATATATTATGTGTGTATGTTTGCGTTTGTATATGTGTGTGTTGTGTTGTTACTTGTGAGAGAGTTGTATTATAAGAACTAAGAAGAGAGATGGTGGTTAAAGATGGTGTATGGAACTTGTATATACAAACACATATAATATAAGGTTTTTTATTTAAACATTTTCTTTTATCACTGACACTTCATGTGACGTTCTTCTGAAAATATTCTTCCGGGTAGGAATTTATAATAATAATTTTGATTTGTTAATATTTTCAGTTTGATTTCCATATATATATATATATATAATGTTTAAAATCATTATTTTCTAATGCAACAAAAGATTATGTACGTTTTAACTCTATATCAAACTATTTCAAAATGGATGATATTAGAATATGTACAGAAAAGGGTAATATTTTTTTAGGTTCGGTTGGTTTTAGAATGCTAAATAATATATGTTTAATTTTATAAATTAACTGTAATCAACATATATGATTTATAATAATCATCATTAAGGAGAATAAGATTAAGTTAATAAGGAAATGGGCAGCAGCACATGATGTTTGTTTGTTCTCATCTCTGAATAAAATAAGAGTTCGAGGATTATGTATATGGTTTCCCTCTTTGTTATATTACTTCTTCATCATTGCAGAATCATCATCCCATTATATATATATATATACCCTGCGATCCAAGTAATATACTATTATCTTATTCAAGACACACACACACACTAAGATTTGATAAGATAAATAATTTTGGAATAACATGCAATAACCCATACCAAGATAAAACAAAAGTAATTATTAACGAGTATTAAAATTTATTTGATTGGTTTTGGATCAAGTATAATAATATAAGACCATTATAGATTCTTTTTTGTTGGAAATATAACATTTTAATAGCCTATGTAATTTTGGATTTTAAATTTCAATATGATCTTGACTACATTGATGGAAATGAGTTTATTATGGTATTGAAGTTTATGGGTATTTAAGTTTATTCCCCTCTCCTTATCCTATAAATAATAGACATTTGGTTCATATTTTATCCATCGAAAAAACTATCAAAGTTAGGGTGAAAGGAGAGAAAACAAACAAGAAACTATTTAGTTTGTTCTTCCAAGTTATTCAACTGCAAAATGGATTCAGGTACAATTCTTATTTGATATGTATATGTATATTATTTTCGAATTGTGTGAATTATGTAAAACCGTATCCAATTCTGATGAATTTTTATAAAGTTATCGAAAAACATCATATTAAAATTTTACATTTGATATCAGAGCATGCGTTTTGTTTTATCATAATTTATCGATTACAGTTTCGAAATTTTAATATGCATAGTATATGGATATTATATTTTTTAAAAAATGTGTCATAAAAAAGTATCATAATAGAAATTAAAGTATATAAATATATATATGAATTAATATATATGAATATCCGTAACTATTATATAATAATAGTAATATATATATGTCTTGAACATATGAACATATAAACTTACGTGTATGAAAAGTTAACATAAAATTATAAAATGTCATATACATATCAACTATATTAAAGATCATTTTAATTATATCAAATGCGAGTTCTAAATTTGAACAATAAAGATGGTTTCAAATAAATTAATAAATTTATAGTGAAATATTAATATTGATAACTTCTATGTTTTTATAATACATATCAATATGTATTATTATTATTGTATCTTCATATAAGTATATATATTATGCATTAATATACCATATAGTAATTTGTATGGATAATAATTTATATACTTTATGAAATTAACTATGTGGATACATGTTATATGGAGATTAAAAATATTTTTATTTGTTTTATATTTTAAACTTGTTAGACACCAAAGTGACCTAGTTTAAATTAAAATAAATATTCAAACTAAATATATATGTTTTAATTTTTCATAATGAAAGGATGCTAATGTATGACATAAAATAAATAATTGAATAATTATAATTATTTATTATATTGCTATTAGATCATCCAAAGATGGATCGATGCATATGATTAATAATATTAGAGGGACATAATTTTTGGTTAATAAGTATGTATGTCCAAAGATTGCATTCTTATTTAACCGGTAGTATTATGATTTCCATTAAAGTATATTTTGCATCAATAATTGTATGTATGTATTGAAGTATTGCCCAAAGGTGAATTTTAGCACATATTATTGTTACTTTTGAAATATACTAATGGATAAATATTTATAATATTTCAGCTTCACTTAACCTTATGGCTTCTGGCAATAGAATTGTTAAGTTCAACGGGTTTAACTATGCAGATTGATCTGAACAGATTCAATTTTATTTAGGTTTCAATGATATGGATCATGCATTGTTGAATGAAAAGCCAACATCCATAACAGATGAAAGCTCAGAAAGTGACAGGATTAACTTCGATTCCTGGGAGCGATCAAATAGGTTGTGTTTGAACTTGATGAGGATTACTATGACAGAAAGTGTTAAGCCATCGATGTCTAAAACTGGAAGTGCAAAGGAATTTATGCAAAAGATTAAAGAGTATTCTCAGTCGGATCTGGCTGACAAGTCAATTGTAGGAAGTCTCATGAACGAGCTGACTAAAGTTTGATTGGTCTCAGCCTATCCATGATCATGTGACTAACACGTCTAATATGGAGGCAAAGTTGAAAGCTATGAGAATGGATGTTAATGAGACATTTCTGGTCCAGTTCATCATTAACTCTCTCCCTGTTGAGTTTGGTCAGTTCCAGGTGAATTATAACACCATCAAGGAAAAATGGAACTTTCAGGAATTGAAGGCCATGCTCATACAGGAGGAAGAGAGATTAAAGAAGGTGAAAGAACATTCTGTTCATCTTACAGTTGAAACTAATGCCGACAGCAATAAAAGAAAACCAGAAAAAAATGACAAAAAAAAGGATAAGGCTCCAATAAAAGATAATGTGAGCCAAGTCCGGAAAGAAGTCAAGTGTTTTTTCTGTAAAAAAACTGGACACATTAAGAAAGATCGTCAGAAAAGAAAGGGATGGTTCGAAAGCAAAGATAAACATAATATTTTAGTTAGCTTTGAATCGAATGTTATTGAAGAATCCTTGTTTAATGTTGAAAATATTATGGACGTTAAACGTAGTACACCTAACAATGAAAGTTCGGCTTTATTGTGACATAAAAAATTAGGTCATATATCCAAAGAAAGGTTAACAAGATTGTTGAAGAATGAAATTTTACCATGTTTGGATTTTAGTGACTTAGGGGTATGTATTGACTGTATCAAAGGAAAACAGTCAAAACATACTGTAAAGAAAGCGGCCACAAGAAGCACTCAACTTCTAGAATTAATTCACACTGATATTTGTGGTCCTTTTGATATTTTCACGCGGGGTGGAGAAAGGTACTTTATTACTTTTATCGATGATTACTCACTGTTACACTTATCTTCTGTATGATAAATCTCAATCTGTGAACATATTTGAAGTGTTCATTAATGAGGTTGAGAGACAGTTAGATAAAAGGGTTAAAGTTGTGAGATCCGATAGAGGTGGAGAGTATTATGGAAAATATAATAAGACTGGACAATGTCCAGGTCCATTTGCGAAATTCCTCGAAAGTAAGGGTATTTGTGCACAATACACAATGCCCGATGCACCGCAACAAAATGGTGTAGTAGAAAGACGAAATCGTACATTAATGAATATGGTTAGGAGCATGATAAGTAATAGCTCTTTACCTCTCTCATTGTGGATGTATGCATTAAAAACGACAACTATCTGCTTAATCGTGTTCCTAGCAAAACAATCCCTAAAACACCTTATGAACTGTGGACAGGAAAGAAACCGAGTTTAAGACACCTGCATATTTGGGGTTGCCAAGCAGAAATAAGAGTGTACAATCCACATGAAAAGAAGCTTGATCCTAAGACAATCAGTGGATTTTTCATTGGTTATCTAGAAAAGTCTAAAGGATTTATATTTTATTGTCCTAACCATAGTACGAGAATTATGGAGACTGGCAATGCAAGGTTCATTGAAAATGGTCAAATCAGTGGGAGTGATGAATCACGAAAAGTTGGCATAGAAGAGATCCGGGATAGTATTTTCACACCGGATATCCCTTCTGTTGTTCTTGTACCGAAATTCACATCAATGTCTCGTGATATTCCAGTACAACAAGAGCACGTCGAAAACCCACATAATGAGGGCATTATTAATGAACCAGTTACCAGAAGAGATTAATGAACCACCGATCATCTTGAGACGATCTGAAAGGGAAAGGAGATCTGCGATCTCAGATGATTATGTGGTTTATACTCTAGAACATGAATGTGACTTAAGCATTGATAATGATCCGTCTACATTTAAACAATCCATGAATAGTTGTAATTCTGGAAAATGGTTTGATGCTGTGAAAGAAGAATTAAAATCCATGAACGACAATAATGTCTGGGACTTAGTAGATTTACCGGAAGGTGCAAAGAAAGTCGATTGTAAATGGGTTTGTAAGACCAAGCTTGACTCACGTGGTAATATCAAAAGGTATAAAGCCCGACTTATTGCCAAAGGTTACACCCAAAAGGAAGGCACAGACTATAAAGAGACTTTCTCTCCGGTTTCTAAGAAAGAATCTTTGAGAATTATATTGGCTTTAGTTGCTCATTATGATTTAGAGCTTCATCAAATGGATGTTAAAACCGTTTTTTTGAATGGTGATCTAGAGAAAAAGTATATATGGATCAACCTGAAGGATTTATATCTACGGGAAAAGAAAATTTAGTGTGTAAGATGAGAAAATCAATTTATGGACTAAAACAAGCTTTCCGACAATGGTATCTAAAATTTAATAATACCATTACATCTTATGGTTTCGTAGAAAATATCGTTGATCGATGTATCTACATGAAAGTTAGTGAGAGTAAGTATGCGATTTTAGTCTTATACGTTGATGATATTTTACTTGCTGCAAATGACATGAGAATTTTACATGATGTAAAAGTGTTTCTTTCTAAGAATTTTGATATGAAAGATATGGGCGAGACATCCTATGTAGGGGTGTCAAAACGAGCCCGGCTCGTGAGCTGGCTCGTGGCTCGTCAGAAAACGAGCGATCTGAGCCGTAATTTTTTCAGCTCGTTAAAAAACGAGCCTAACGAGTCAGAGCTCATTGAACACGTGTTCAATGAACCTGGCTCGGCGAGCTGGCGAGCTGCTCAACGAGCTGATATTTTTTTTTAAAATAAATTAAATTTATATAAAAAAACTCTAATATAATTTTATATTAATTTTTTTCATATCATTTATATGATATTATAAATATACTAATTATTATGATAGTGATAATTGAAAATATTAAATGATATTGGTGTTTTATTAAATTTTTATGTATTTATTTAAATTTATAATTATATTTAAAATAAATATAAATAAAAAATATTATATATCCTTGGCTCAACGAGCCGACTCGTTCAGATCGGAAAACTGGCGAGCGATCTGAGCCGAGGTTTTTCTGGCTCGTTAGAAAACGAGCCTAACGAGCTGAGCCCAAAACGATCCGAGCCAAATGAGCCGAGCCCGAAATGATCCGAGCTGGCTCGTTTGACACCCCTAATCCTATGTGATAGGAATAGAAATATTCTGAAATAGATCACAAAGATTGTTAGGATTGTCTCAGAAAGGTTACATCAACAAAATCTTAGAAAGATTCAGAATGGATAAATGCTCTGCAGGAAAGGTTCCAATTCAGAAAAGGGACAAATTCAGTAATTTACAATGTCCGAAAAATGAATTGGAACGAGGAAATGGAAAATATTCCTTATGCATCAGTGGTTGGGAGTTTAATGTATGCTCAAACGTGTACTTGACCAGATATCAGCTTTGCTGTTGGAATGTTAGAGCGGTACCAAAGTAATCCCGGAATAAATCACTAGAAAGCTACAAAGAAAGTTCTAAGGTACTTGCAAGGCACCAAAGAATATATGTCACATACAGAAGATCAAATCATCTGGAAGTCATTGGTTATTCAGATTCAGATTACGCTGGATGTGTTGATACCAGAAAATTGACTTTTGGATATTTGTTTCTACTTGCCGGAGGAGCAATATCATGGAGGAGTGGAAAACAGTCTGTCATCGCTGCTTCCACCATGGAAGCTGAGTTTGTAGCATGTTTTGAAGTTACTGTTCACATTTTATGGTTGCGGAACTTTATCTCAGGGCTTAGGATTGTCGACACTATAGCTAGGCCGCTAAGAATTTACTATGATAATTCCGCAACTATCTTCTTCTCAAAAAATGATAAGTACTCAAAAGGTGCTAAGCATATGAAGTTAAAATACTTATCTGTCAAAGAAGAAGTGCAGAAACAAAGAGTATCATTTGAGCATATCAATACTGATTTTATGATAGTGAACCCATTAACTAAAGGATTGCCGCCTAAGACTTTTAAGGCTCATGTTGATCGTATGGGGCTATGGACATTATAGATAAGTCATTACTGTAATTTAAATAATTGCTCATTATATATGATATTTTGAATTCAATAAAGTTTTGTTTCTGTTAATGAAAATCATACTATTATTAAATTATTTGTGTACATATGAAGTTGATGGAGATAATATATATTATTGTTTTATAGTTACTCCTGGCCATAAAAGAGGTTTTGGATGACAAACGATTGTGATACTTGGAAGGAATCATATTCAAATAAAATGATGTGTGACCGCCAAGATTCAATTGTTTGTTGTTCAAATAAAAGTTATCGATGATAGATAAATAAAATATAAAATTACACGTTTAAAGATTGTAGATCATCAAGTCATCACAGGGGTCAAGTGGGAGAATGTTGGAAATATAACATTTTAATGGCCCATGTAATTTTGGGTTTTAAACTTCAATATGATCTTGACTACATTGATGGAAATGAGTTTATTATGGTGTTGAAGTTTATGGGTATTTAAGTTTATTCCCCTCTCCTTACCCTATAAATAATAGAAATTTGGTTCATATTTTATCTATCGAAAAAACTATCAAAGTTAGGGTGAAAGGAGAGAAAACAAACAAAAAACTATTTTAGTTTGTTCTTCCAAGTTATTCCGCTACAAAATGGATTTAGGTACAATTCTTATTTGATATATATATATATATATATATATATTATTTTCGAATTGTGTGAATTATGTAAAACCATATCCAATTCTGATAGATTTTCATAAATTTATCGAAAACCATCATATTAAAATTTTACACTTTTATCATACAAAACATCAAAATAATATCATATTATTTTTGTCATGTATTTTGCTTTAAAAAGTAAGTATTATATTTTTAAAAAACATAATAAGCTATTAATAATATGTACTTTTTGAATCAAAACTTTAATCTACAATATATATATATATATATATGTGTGTGTATGTATATATCAATACACACATAAAACATATACACAAACCATATGACTGTCAATGGTTGTCGTATGGCTAGAATAGGACCCATGGATTCTAACATGTTTTTTAATGTCTTGTCTTAAATAGAACATAACTAAATCAGATCAATGATTTTAAAAAATGTCAATATGGTTGATGGGCCTCCTCTTCGACATATGCTAAGACATATCTGTTTTCTGATTATATATACATATATATTACGTATGTAGATAAGCTTCTACATGATGTCTTGGTCCATATGGCGGCACATAAGTACATTGCTCTTGGGACCCATATAATCCTTTTTTATTTTTAATAAATAAAATTATTACAAGACGTTTATCGGATAAAAATAGTAGTATGGCCTTTACCGATTTGACTAATAGTTTTATTTTAGTTAATATTCGTACACGATTTTTTCGTTAATTTAAAAGTAATACGATTTGCTAGTCAATTTTTTCATTAGAAATTAAAATACAATGCATAATTAATATTAAAGTATAGAATAACATAACAACGATGTTGTAAAAAAATTTATGTTAAATTATATGTATGAACATAGCATATATTTGAAAGATTAGTAGGGATGAAGGTTTGAATACTTTTAAATAAAAATTTATTGATAGTTGGTTGGGCTATCAGCATGTAATATTTTAAGTGGTTTGAAGACGATGTGCGATGACTTAGCAATTCTACGATGATCCACCATCACTATTCAATATCATCAACAATATTTGACAAATAAATTTCAAATTTTAACCTAATATTCTTTCATATTATGTCATAAGAACGATAATCATATTACTTATAACAAAAAACACACACACACACACACATATATATATATATATATATATATATGATTGTTTCCATTATTTACTAGACTCATATGATGGTGACTAATAATTATGGGTTATGGTGTTTTACATAATATAAGAAGATATACCCACCATGGACAGACACCAATTCATTATAAATTTTATAAATTTTTAAATAAAAATTGTTAAATATCTACATAATGAAATTTAAATTCGCTCTTAAAAAAATTAAAATAAACTTATTATTATCTCCAATTATAATTATTTTTGGATCCACCCATATCAATAATACCCCCCATGAAATGGGTTGATGATCTCACACCACGACGTGACGTGGCAGCATGCAACACATCAATTGGGCTCAATTACGGATCATTAACTCGGCCCATAAACAATAAAAGCCCATATAACGAAACCCATATTGAAACTATTCTAGGGGTGGCCATTTCGCCCGAATAATATTCGAACCCGAAATAAACCGAATAAAAAATTGAACTGAAACCCGAAATGACCACTCCTATCCTATCATTTTGCATGGCCGAAAATGAATTATATAATATTACATACACAAATCTTCTCAGAATCCGTGGCCTCTGTTCTTTGACACTTACCATCTTTTCTCCTACTACATAGATGTTCCATTGGTGATGTACAGAAGCTGAATAGCTAGTTAAACAGAGATATATATAAGACCCGAAATCCCTTAATCCGATCGAGCCCGTTATAACGTCGACCCGGGCGATTAGGGCTCGTGCCTAACCCGCCCACGATATGAATCCCATGGCGGAGCTGAGCCGGAAAGAAACGAATATCAGATACATCGTTATGAGACCGATACCTAGAGCCTTGTTTGGTCGCATATCGTTGCGTGGCAACATCACAAGAGCATAAGTTAACCCGAAAACGAGGAACCCAAGAGTGAAGAACAAGGTTTTGTCCTCCGGGATCGTGTATGTGTCGGGATTCTTCGATAATGTCCCGAGAATCATTGAGATCCCGAGCCCAATGAGCGTGTTGAACATTGGACCTGCATAGCATCCTGAAAAAGCTATCTGCACACCATCATTACCGTTCATGGACAATGCTATATTCGATACGAGATCGCCCATCGAGTTTCCCCATGCAAGAACTGTCAGCCCGAGAATAGACGGGTCGATTCCATAGATCGTGCCAAATGTCACCAGGAGGGCAACGAGTTCGTTAGCTATCATGTAGAACCATACTATGCTCATGATGAATCCGGCAAGAACCCAAGGGATCAAGAATCTACGAGGTGGGTGATCAGGTTCGGTGTTTTTGTATGCAAGAAAACCAAACACACCGCCAGTAACAATGCCGATGAAGTATGCTGGAAAACGGGCTTGAGAACTCATACTGTCTCGGCTGCTCCAGAGAAATGCCAGAAGGATAGGAGCCAACGAGACACTTGAAACAGCATATGTCTTTGACCAGTTGTCTTCCTCAATCAACGGAATTGTCAACCGTCTTGGAATCGTCAGTGGAATCTCCAACAATGAAGTGAATTTAGAGAATAGTGAGCTCTCGGCCTCTGCATCCTCGTCAGTCCATCCCCATGGAGGTCTTTCTTCATCTTGGACACTGACTTTTGCGAAATGGTTCGAGTAGATAGCAACGTTTGAAGCCCACATCCACTGAGGCAGAGAGCTATGAAGAAGAGGTGGACCATCCTCAGAGTCAATCTCTAGCAAGGGGGTATCCATGGGAATATCCTCATCAACGTTCGGAGAAAACACACTTCCATGGATGGGAAGCAAAGGCGTAAAAACATCCAGTTTCAACCTCCTAGCATGTTTTCTCAGAATTACATTCGCTGCCACGAAAAAAGCGTAAACCACATATATCGAGACGAAGGCAATGGCAATCCACACCGTCACTTTACCAACCATCAAAATAACCAGTAAAGACATAAGTGTGAAAAGGAAGAAACTCAAGTCTCTAACGAAGCACTTCTTATCGATCTTGACTTCCTTGTCCGCCACACAAAGCGATACAATCCCGACAACAACAGAGGTGACGAATACCGCACCACCCAATACACTGTTAAGCCCGACTTCGCCTTTGTCCGAGCCAACAAAGGCGGCTATACTTGCAAAGACATCGGGTGCTCCATTCCCAAGCGGAAGAAGGGTAACACCAGAAACAGTCGGAGGCAACCTCCAAAGCTTGGAGAGCTTCTCCAAAGAACAACAGAAGTAATCAGCGGCAGTGTTACCCAACAGATAAAACAGAGCAACAAGCCAAACACCCAACATCATATAACCCAAGAATCTGAAATCTCCGCAAGAACAGTAGAAAAACTTGAGGTAATCAATGTATCCATCTGGAGAGCAGACAGGGTTTGCTTTCAAGAACTCACATGGATCAGCATAACCCTTGTGAAGATGTAACCCGGAGCACAATGCAGTGATATCTCCACTCAAGCTGATATTACCAGAACCAGTGATCGAATTCGACACATTCGTGTCAAATTCACTCATATGCCGACGAATTACAGTAAACTGGTTCAACCCATTGGCGAATCTATCACGAGTAGCACCGAAAGACACGCCCTTTAGGAAAGGGTTTCTGAGTATATCTCCCCGATCAAAGAAGAAGAGAAACAGAATGGCAGCACAGAGGCCATTGAAAATCCCTCGAAATTTGGGATTTCTCGAACGTAACAGACAAGTCACCGCTCTCATTCCCAGCCTTGTATATATAATTTATCCACACAATTTATCAACCCTAAATTATCGGAAAAAGCAAAGGGTATATCATGAACCTCGTTTGAACCAATCGCATACGAAATTGAGAATCAGAAACCCTAGGATCCCGGATTCGATCAACGGAAATCAATCGAGAATCGAGCGCTTACCGAAGAATCGCGTATTATAGCGAATAACGCAGATAAAAGAAGGGGGGAAATAGGTGCAATCGAGGTGTGAATCTATGGCGGTACTCGTCGTCCTCGTCCTGCACCTCACCCGAGACTCTCCACCTGCTTACTCGGATCGTAATCGGGTCAATTATACCCGGACGCATTCATATTTAGAATACCGGTATTTCATACGATGTCTGGTTTGGTTATCGAAAACCGGTTCAATTGTGCGAAAACCGGTTTGATAACAAACAAATGAATGATACATTCCTAGAATCTATCACTATAGCATATTATATTATTTATTGCGCAGACCAAATATTTTGTTATTCAGTCAATAACAACAAAATCTATCAGAGATTCTGAAACAAACATAAATTAAAATATAATAATAAGAATAGTTTCCAAAACGTGAAGAAGCTGAACTTTAAAAACTTTTTATTATTATTAGTATTAAAATCTTAACCATTTATAAATCTTAAATTTCTATCCATAAAAACATCCATAAGATCTATAGTTTTAATTAATTAATATAATTTCAAATCAAGTTAACATATGTTATATTATTTATCATCATAAAGATATTTTAATTAGAGTCAAAATAAATACTATAATATTTACATATATTAATGGAAAAATAGCATATTAATACACAAATTTGTAAAAAAATCCCAAATAAATATACGAAGATTAAAATTCCTAGATAAATACATTTTCCCAACCCCTATATTAAACTCTAATTTGTTTTTAAAAATAATGAAAATAAATCATAAATTTTAAAATTATTTTTAAAAATCACCATAAAATTAAAATTTAGACTTTTAAATGACACTCAAATACCACTATAATATGATTTTTTTGGAAATTTCTTAGAAGTTAAGGCTTTACTCTAAAAATTAACAAGAGTTCTTGTATATTATTTAAAATTTTAAAGTTTGTTTATTTATTTCAGATTTTTTTTACAAATTCTGTTGTATGTGATTTTCCCTATATTAAAAAAGTACAAGATTTATTCAGAATTAGACATAGTTAACATTTTGATTATATATATATATTTAAAAATGATTAAATTTCGATGAAAGGTGTTGATTGTGTAAACAAAATTGTAACATGAGAAAGCAGGAAAATGTGTGGAAGCATCAATGGACGTGGACATGGACGTGACATAACTAGACTTATCCAAATAATGTTTGTGTATCAAATGATTATACAGAAGAAAGTCTGACTATTAATCCCCACTCTAATCCAAATTTAATATTTTTAGCTATAATAAGATATCACGACTCATATGGCTAATAATGATTATTTATTTTTAAGTAATATTATTTGACTTAACGTAATCCACGTAATTATGCTTCTAATTTAAGCTATTGATTAAAACAATTCAATCATAAAAAAATAATAATTATGCAAAGACTAAGCAAACTAATTGAATGAAATTTTCTTGATATGAATGACTACAAATTCATTATTTGGTTAACCAACTTGATTTTGATTATCCGAGATAATCACTTCTAACAAACTTTTTAACAAAAAAAATTCACACGAAAGATATTCTCGATATTCAAATTTCATTTGTTTTTATTAATTGATCCGTTCCAAAATTTGATTAAAAAATGTTATTTTCAATTCGTCAATATAACTACTGTTCATAATTTTATAATCTATAAGAACTAAATCATAATTTTGAATGGTAAAAATTTTGTGACATGCACAGATTAAGAAATGATTTAAATATGGAGATTTTTTTTTTTTGGGTGGGGCGAGAATTTATTTGGGTTTATAAAATAAATACGATTTCAGTAATATTTGCTAAAAAGGTAATTCTGTGATTTCAAACACGATAAATAATTAAATATCATGCATTAAAGTAACACTAAGCAAACGTTTATATACGTAAACTTGTAACTGTGATTATTTACAATTGCTACAATGATCCTGAAAATCGACAACCCATCTCAATGTGGACACATTCAACACACAACAATCAATACACGGACACAATGTGTATCCCTCCGTCAAATCAAATCCCATTTTTTTTAGTAAAAAAATTACTTACTATTTTTGTTTATTTTATTTTCACACACAAAAAATGGCAAAACCGACACGACACTCTTCCTCTCTTACGAAACAGTTTGACTTCATCTCACCGACCAATTATCTCCCGCCGGAAACAATCCGACAGGTAAAACCGGCGAATTTCTGGCCGGAGATTGATTATTTTGGCCTACGCGCCGCCGGACAACGTGGGCAAACAACTCCCCGTCTGAACAAGCACCGCCGAGCAAGGCGGTCCCCCGCCGCCGCTATTCGCCGAACTCGCAGGCGCCGACCTCGCCTTCCTCGGCGGGCCCAGGATTTTCCGCCGGAATAACTGCATTAACGCCGATATAACATCCACGTTCGTCGGCGGCGATGAACGAAACTCACCGCAGAACCTCATGTGTCCGGCCAAAGCCTCTTCAACTCCGGCGACTCCTCCTCCGTAGTTGACGGCCTCGGAGCAGAGGCCGCAGATCCATTTTCCGGCGTAGATCGTCCGTACGTTATCGATGTACGCCGTCGTGTATTCCTCCGTCAGACCGCAGCATTCGCACTCCGCCATCTCGATCTCTGGTTTCGATTCGGCCATCATTGTTGTTGCTCCAGACATCGATATTTCCCCTGTAAGAAAACGGCATACCACATATCCATATATATACACACACACGGCGTAGATATGTATGTATTTGCGTATGTGTGGTTGAAAAAGGATGAACCTTTTTACTCTGTTCGGCTCACAAAACCATAGTTCTATACATGTAGATGTGTATATATATGTGTATGTATATGTATTTGTTCGAGTATATGTGAAAGGAGGAACCTTTTTGCTCTGAATCGCTGCTGGTTCTTCACTACTGCAACAGAAGTCTTCTTCTCCGGCGAAGCAGTATGTCTGTATCTATCTATCTATCTATATATATGTATAAATATATGTGTATATGTATATAACCACGTGCTACTTTTATCTTTCTTTCTCCCACTCTGTTACACTCGCTTCCCCGTAGAAGAGTTCAAAGAACGAAACCATCGCTGGAAGAACAATAAGAGCAAAAGAATTCGTGAATATGAAGAAGAAGATGGGAAATAGAAAGAGATCTTAAACCCAGAAATACCCAAATCCCATTTGAGCAAAAAAAAAAGCTTTTTCTCAACAAAAAAAAATCTTCGATCCGTGGATTCTATTTCAGAGACGGAGAGATTGTTCTGTGGTTTAGAGAGATAAAGAGAGAGCAGGCTCTGTATATGAAGGAGCATATTCCACGTCAGCATGGATCGATGGGAGTTAATCGGGACCGTTGATTGAATATTTGCCAGCTGGCATTATCTTCTTGGAACATATACAACCCACGAAATGGTGAAGGGGAAAAACCAACGACCCGGTTAACCTCGCTTGGCTGATGAATAGTTTTAGAAATTCTTTGACAAGTCCACATGAATTCTTTGAATATATAAAATTTAACTGTTAGATTTCTCATCATAATTTATTAGTTTCTATAGAAAAGATTTTCGTATAAATGCGAGAGTGATATAATAACTATTTATAATAATTTTGACATTAATATTTTTTTGTTTTGATATCTCAAAAAAGATATCCATAATGATAGAAAAAAATTGATTTACAATGTATTGTTTAGTAGCTGTATTTTCTGTCACTACATGTTTGTTAGAATGGGTATATATTTAGAATTTTTTTGTATTAATTAAAAGTTTTTTAAATAAAGGGTTTATTTATAACTATACTGTAAAAAAATGTAATTTTTTTTTACATTAAACTACTTTTCACATAGAAACCAGTAAAGTAGTCATTTCGAGATAATCATTGGTATATTCAAGAGACATTTTTTAGATTTTCCCCAAAAAAAGTCAACAAATAATTTTGGAAAATACACTTATCTAAAAGACTCAATTAGTGAATGCCACGTGTAATAACGAGTAAAACGTGCAAGACAAGAGTTTTGAATTGTTTTAGAAAGAAAAAAAAACATAACTTGGAGATAGTAATTTGGCTTGGGGAATACGGACACAGTCACACAGGAGGTTGAGCTTTTATACGAATATTCTTTATTATTAATGTAAATATAATATATAACACATCTCCATTGAGAAATTCTCTTTTTTAAATAATGTAACTGTTGGGGTTTATCACATTTAAAAAAATCTGAACATGTTGCCTACACACACAAAGAGGAACCTGACAGTTACGTATATTTTATGATTATTCAAGATCGGATGGTTCAATTGATAATAGATGGGATAAAATTTCTTTCCAATTCAAATTCTAATCTTCATATGGGAAGAAATATTTACCTGATCTTTTTCGATCTTTAGGAAAATATAGTTAAATCCTAGTTTTTTTTCTGACGTAATAAAAATCTAAATGAACAAAAATTGAACAACCATTGTGGGTTCATTTTTTTGTTTCATACGATGTCGTTTTGAGGGAAATTGTCATGGACTTGGGCTGGGCCGTCGCAAGATAACGAAACGACAGATCACATTATTCATTATTGGACTGTCAGAAAAAAAAAATCAGAGAAGAAAAGCGTCGGTCAAAAAAAAAGAAAAAAGACCGTCGCATTAATAACGAAGAAAAGCGTCGGTCAACCAATAATTTTGGAAAATACACTTATCTAAAAGACTCAATTAGTGAATGCCACGTGTAATAACGAATAAAACGTGCAAGACAAGAGTTTTGAATTGTTTTAGAAAGAAAAAAAAAACATAACTTGGAGATAGTCATTTGGTTGGGTCAATTGCAAAAATACCTTTAAATGATACATTGAGTTTCAACCTATACCCTTCATCTAAAGCAAAAAAAAAAAACATTATATTTACTCTTATAAATATACATTTCCAATAATACCCGTTACTTTTTAATTTAATATAATTATATAAAAATAAGTTTTTTCTCTCTCTTCACTGTTGTTCTCTCCCTTCCGTCACTCATTCTCTTTCATCTGTTACACTTTATCTTCCATTACGCTCTCTCTCTTTGAATCTTCTCTCTTCTATATGAATTTTTGGTTAACTAATTATAAAAAATAAGTTAAATCTCCAAAATTTTCATCTATTAAACAAACATTTCGATAATAGACAAATTTTCCTTCCAAAAAATGATATATATTTTGGGTATTTAGGGTTTACTACGTTTTTATCTTTAAAATTTGATTCATATGATATAAATGAATAAAATAGAACATACATGAGTAATACGTTGTATTATATAGACATAAATGAGTTAAATCAACATTATTATGATTCACACAGTCAAACTGATCATATTAATATGTTCAGAGTGCGAAAATAATAAATTCGCGAAATTCGTGAGGGTGCGACGAGTTTGACTAGTTTGACGGTGCGACGAGTATGACGGTGCGACGAGTCAAACTGGTCAAATGATAGTGTAAATTAAATTTTGAAGGTTCAACATGGTATATAGAACATATTATGGCGTATCTAACATGTTTTTGTTATTCGTAAATCATATTGGAAAATAATATAATCTACCCTAACCTAATGTGTTACAAAAAGTGTACTAGAACTTTTGGGTTTCTTTTGGGAGAACATGCATTGTAAAATAAATAAGGTGTTGAATTTAAAGAGTTGCGATTATTTTTTACTTGTAAAAATTGTTATATGGACTGTTTATTAACATCTTTATAGTGTGGAAATGATAAATTCGCGAAACTCATAAGGGTGCGACGAGTTTGACTAGTTTGACGGTGCGACGAGTATGATGGTGCGATGAGTCAAACTGGTCAAATGATAGTGTAAATTAAATTTTGAAGGTTCAACGTGGTATATAGGACATATTATGGCGTATCTAACGTGTTTTTGTTATTCGTAAATCATATTGGAAAATAATATAATCTACCCTAACCTAATGTGTTACAAAAAGTGTACTAGAACTTTGGAGTTTCTTTTGGGAGAACATGCATTGTAAAATAAATAAGGTGTTGAATTTAGAGACTTGCGATTATTTTTTACTTGTAAAAATTGTTATATGGACTGTTTATTAACATGTTCAGAGTGCGAAAATGATAAATTCGCGAAATTCGTGAGGGTGCGACGAGTTTGACTAGTTTGACGGTGCGACGAGTATGACGGTGCGACGAGTCAAACTGGTCAAATGATAGTGTAAATTAAATTTTGAAGGTTCAACGTGGTATATAGGACATATTATGGCGTATCTAACGTGTTTTTGTTATTCGTAAATCATATTGGAAAATAATATAATCTACCCTAACCTAATGTGTTACAAAAAGTGTACTAGAACTTTGGGATTTCTTTTGGGAGAACATGCATTGTAAAATAAATAAGGTGTTGAATTTAGAGAGTTGCGATTATTTTTTACTTGTAAAAATTGTTATATGGACTATTTATTAACATGTTTATAGTGTGGAAATGATAAATTCGCGAAACTCGTGAGGGTGCGACGAGTTTGACTAGTTTGACGGTGCGACGAGTATGACGGTGCGACGAGTCAAACTGGTCAAATGATAGTGTAAATTAAATTTTGAAGGTTCAACATGGTAAATTGTTATATGGACTATTTATTCAAGTACTACCAGTGTGTAACTAGTATAACCATTTAACTTCATGACCACTTTGATTAGTGTAATCGTACAATTTTTTCACTGATATGTGCACTCGACGAATATGACCCATTTAATTAGATTTATCAGACTAGTCAAACTGATCACACTATTCAAGTACGACTAATGTGACTAGTATGACTATTTAGCTTTCATATGACTAGTCTTCTGTGAAAAATATCGCTTCTCACTTTCTAACTGAAATCCTAATTTTTTTTTATCCATATAACTCGAATAATATGATCCATTTGATTTGTTTTTGTCTTATTTTATTATTTACCCAGATGCCTCATCCAATATCTTTTCAAAGGGTATTTCTTCTTCTTCTTCTTCTTTTTCCCCTTCCATTCTTGTTCCTCCTCCTTCTCCTCCTCTTTCTTCTTGTTCTTCTTCCTCGGAATCTTCATCTTCATCTTCTTCTTCTGCATTCAGCTCAATCTTTTGGATACTTTTCGCAGTTTAGACCAGAGATAATGGCATGTTCGGTGATCGAGTATCTAACGGATACACCGTTCAGAATAAACCACAACTCTTTCACGTTTCCTTCAAGCTTTAGTGCGCGATGCAAAAGGACAGACATCAGAACCATTTTTAATGTGTCTTCACATTGAAGATGGAAAATATATCGAAACTGTGACTCTTTGTTGAAATATACCCATTCTTCGTTTGTTAGAGTCTTTTTAAGAGAACGGATGGTTTCAAATGGATAACACTTTGTTGTGATCTTGGGAGCATGATGAATGTCGTTAAAATCATATACAAAAGAAACCTGCAAAAAGAAAATTAACATTTGTTATCACTTTTGTGTCAATAGTAACCATGTTTATCAGACTCGTCAAACTTGTCAAACTCGGCATACCATTCAGGTGCGATGAATGTGACTAGTCTGACCAAATTAACATCTTGTGCAGTTTGACGAGTGTGACTGGTTGTGACCTGTTTACCAGTTTGGTCAGACCAGTCTAACTCGTTATATCCTTCAAGTGTGACCATTGTGACTAGTACGACCATTTTGTCTCACCATGATAACTTCAACATGACTCGGCTTTGTGAAAAATCTTATTTCCCACTTTCTAACCGAAATCCTAATTTTTCTGGACTATATAACTCTACTAATATGACATAATATGACTCATTTGGACACTATAACCGTGATTCGAGTTCCATATTACTCGACATTGAGCAAAACAATGTTTCTCAGTTTTTTTACCGAAATCCGTATTTTTCTAATCCATACTACACAAAAATGATCCATTTTAGTCGGTTTTGTTTTCGTTTATTGTTTACCCAAATACATAGACACGAAATTCTAAGAAAAACTTCTCACTTTCTCGGTGAGTTCAAACGCAAAATATACCCGGATATCTTCGTAAATAGGAGTCGAAGACGAAGAAGGAGACGAAGCCATATGAAGTGAGAAGATACTGCAAGAAAAAATCGCAACAAAAATCGCCAAAGAAGAGAAAAATCGCCAAAGAAGAGAGAAGATACAGTTACAGAGAAATTGCGGAAACGAAGAGACAGAGAAAGAAGAAAACTGCTCAAAATTTGATTTGTATGTTTTTTTTTAAAATTCAAAATGCTGCCACGTGTCTTTTTTATT